TGTTTTTGTGAGAATGACCCATATACAATTTCGTTGCAGTGTGTAATAGATAAAAAATTTATATCATATTTAAAAAGAAATAAAAATTATAAAGTTCCCTACCTTTTGATAGCTTCTGAATGCTGTAGCAATAATACTCCAAAAAAACAAAATTTTGTTAAAATTCAAATTAATTTTATGGAATAAGCCAAATGAATTTCTTTTCTTAATTCAATCTTAGTCTTAAAAATGTTTTAGTATACCATTGCTAAAAATAAACTACCCGTTGTAGAGTTAAAATATATATTTCACCTTTTACTTTTCTTTAATTTTGAAGAAAATTGCTCCGATAAAATCAGAGCATTTAGCTATTACATCAGATCGGTAAACACGGGTGAGCAACTCGTGGGTAAAGCTGCAAGAGAAGCCGATTTGAAGCGAAATGAATGGCTTGATGTATAAACACATCAAATAATTACTATTTACAATTTATACATGATTCGTTTATATTAAATGCGGCATCAAATATTTAAGATGCAATAGCTCAAAAATAGAATTAAAGAACAACACGAAATAGGTAGGTAGGTTATTTACGTCGCACTAGAGCTGCACAATGAGCTATTGGCGACTGTCTGGGAAACATCCCTGAGGATCCGAAGACATACCATGGCAATTTTGATCCTCTGCAGAGGGAATGGCTCCCCTGCTTTGGTGGCCCGACGACCTGAGTGCGAAATTGAGTACTTTATGGTTGAACAGTTTAACGAAGACCGATACCACACACCCTCGGTCCCTAAGCAGGCTGATCAAAGTGGTCACCCACCCGCTTACTGACCTCAGCCCGTGAGGATTGACTTGAGTGCTCTACTGGGAACCGTGTCTTTACGATCAGTCCACTGCGGGACACAACAACAGGGAATGCAATTTAAAAATATAAGAATTAAAGTTGAATTAAAAACAAACTTAAGAGTTCATGAACAATAAAAAGAATTTAAAAATGCAGAATTTGTGAATCATGAAGCGACGTTTGACGTCACGTCGCTTCATGATCTACAATCCTCTGCACTTAAATTCACTTCATAGCAGCTGTTTTTGTTATTTTCGGATTATGATTCTTCGTAATGGTAGTGATATAACATTAACTATAGTTAGGAAAAAGTATTAAATTATTTATCTGTTGCGCAGTGGTGGTTAAAATCATTAAAAATTTACTTTTTTAAATAAAGACAAAAACGTTAACGTATTCATTTCGTTGCTAGTTCAAAATTAGAAAGAAAATCTCCGGTGAATTCGAAGACTTGGAGGTTTTGGTCAACAAGATATTCGATAAATACACAAGTGGGCGACCTTTGTGATAAATAATTTTGTGCTCTTAAACGTTGTTACCTTAGTTAGTAAGATATTCGATGTTTGCTCTATGTGAACTCTCCAAATAACGTTGCTTTATAACAGCTGAATAAGTGACAGTTTTCTGACGAGTACCGAAAAAAAAAATTAAGTCTAAGCAATTACGTAATTGAAGGGAGAAAATAAACTGTTTTCGCTACAACTTTAATTTTAAGGAATTATTGCGCGACTCGGATAATGATGATACGTGCGCCTAAAAAAAATTTTAAATTCATAATTCAGTATTACTTCATTTCTCAATTTAACTATACATTCGAAACTACTAAAATATTGATTATGATGCATACATCATTAATAATATGTATAATTATGATATGTACATCATTAATAATATGTATACGTCATAATATTTTAGTCGTTACGAATGAATAGTTAAATTGAGAAATGAAGTAATACTGAATTATTAGTAATACATTACTAATGATGCACATTATTAATGATGTATACACATTATTATTAATGCATACATTTAAAACAAAAATCTTCCTTGCAATCACTTTTAATAAAACACTGGATGAAATATGCTAAAAAGTGTTACTAATTCAGAGATGCCAACTTGCTCCGGACAGCGAATAAATATTTTCGAGTGGTAGTTAATTAATTGTGATTCTTCGTTTAATAAATTCAATTTATTGGTTTCTTATCCACCACTATTTCTAAATAATTCGAAGGCTTAAATCATTCGCCACTTTGTTATAGTAAAGTTATGCTAAACCTTTTAAAAAGTAAGCAAAATTAGTCAAATATTGTTAAATTTAATTTGTAATTATTTACCGTTTTTTAAATTAATTAGGCCCGTCCGGAGCAGTTGGCATCTCTGCTAATTTCATCTCTTTCAATAGATTTTTGGTTTTTATTATTCACCACGTTTTGCATTTTTAGTCATAACACAGTGGCACAGATAGAAAATTTTCTACTTACGATTTTATAATTGACAGTTTTAATATCCATAAACTGTCAATACAACGCAACTTATATAGCAAAATTTTAAAGAACAAACTACTTTTAAATACATCAATTGAATAAAATTCATCATTAAAGGAGAAGAAAGACTGAGTGTGGCGACATATTGTTTACCAATCTCCTAAACAGTTTACTAAACATCGTTTTGAACATAACTGGTAATTTCAAATTTGAATTTTTAAATCCTTTTCAAACCATACATAATTTAGTTTTTCAATTTTTGCTTTTCTTTACTAAAGCTCTTGGTAAAATTTACCACAAAGAAACGAAACATAAGTGCATAGACTTACCATGATTTCTCATCAACAAGGTATTTTTAACACGTAAAATTTCAAAGTTACACAAATTTGCTTTATATATTTATATATATATACATTAAAATTAATCAACTGTTTGAAGCCTTCATTACCCGCAAAAATTTAAATCTGTATAGATAAAAAGCCTATACAGATTTAAATACCTCATTTACTCACCGCAAATTCTCTCACTTTCCATGGAGTTAGAAAGCAAAAAACTGAAACACAAGTTTTCTATTAGATGAGTAGAAAATTAAATATTTTTCATTTCGACATTTGTAATTATTGGGTTAATTATTTTAATAGACATAAAAGCTAAATAACATTGTTGTTCATTTTTAATAGATGTCTCAAAATTGAACCATGTGTTTTTTAAAAGATAAAAACTAAAGGTGTTAAATTTCTATATTTTATTTTATATCATAACCGTCGCTGAACAGCCAATCCAAGTTTGGGTTTACGACTACTAATATTCAATTCCATAGCCTTGTAATTTTGAACCAATCCAGAAGACAAGGAAACTCCAGGATCAGTACCCCCAGAGGTATGATTTGTTATGGGAACATGCAGGACTTCGTGGCTAGACAGATTTAACGTGCATCAGTCACCATTTATATCATAACATGCATCAGTCACCACGGCGGGGATCGAACCCACGACCTCTTGGACATTGGACCCAGTGCCCTACCAACCAGGCTATCCCGGCCTAATTTCTATATTTGTAATTATCAGTAATGTTAAAGGCCACGTTTTGACCAAGCTAAAAATCTTGAATTCAGACCAAGCATTCTTTATGAAATAAATAGAAAAGCTAAAAAAAAAAAAAAATATTCATTTCAATATTTTGTAATTATAAGAATATTTTGTAACTATTAAGACAGAAATCTCAAATTTGGACCATGTTCTTTATGATATAAGTAGAAAAACTTTAAAAAAAAAAAAACATCATTTCGATATTTTTATTTATCGGGATAGTTAAGAGCTATAATACTAACAGAAGTGCTAAATAATACTGTACTATCAAGATAGAAGTATCAAACTTGATCCATATGTTCTTATCGAATTTTTAAAATAAATTAGAAAAAGTTTTATTGTGATATTTGATAGTTAGCTGATTCAACATTTATTCTAAACACAATCCAATCGATTTCCACCAGGTGTTAAATGCAGCTGAACCGATTCAGGCTTTTATGCCATTAAATCACTAACTGGTGAGTTTATGCAAGTGGAGAACTTTGTAGGACCGTGATGCATTGAATTAATATAGGTGGGCCAATAAGCTGGAGCCAGCTAGATCGAGAAAAAATTCTAACACTTCGATTTGTACTTAAAGTACTAATACTCAGGATTTAGACCAATGCTGCCAAAGATCACTGGAACCAACATGGGGCACCTTGCACATATTAAAGATGATGCTGAACTGTGACAGACAAGTTATAAATATACATACATAGTAACCTATAGGGCCATATTGTGGGACCCCTATTAGGCGTATAAATATTTCCTCAGGTAGGGTACACTAGTACCCGGTAATAAAATACGTGGTACAGTTTGAATATTATGGGTCAATATTAAGGTGAGAAATAGAGTCATGTTGTAATACAGAATATTGACATCGAATTTCTTCATTTTAGAGTTCATGTATGTGGAAAATAACCATATGTTTTGTCACATAATTTCAAAAATTATAATAGCTCTACCTGTCACTTTTATCGAGCTATTTATTCCACTTGTTAATTTCATTTCCCATAAAATGTAAGAACTTGTAAAAAATTTCAAATCAATTTAAAGCTTAAAATGTCAATATGTAATACCAGTAAGAAATAACAGATGAATTAAAAAAAATACATTTCTTTATTCAAGTTAACAATAAATAAATCCATCATAAAGAGTATCAAGATACAAATGAAATTTCTTTGACACAATATATATCTGGGCTTCTTCAACCTTTGAGATTTAAAAGTGGATTTTTTTAATAAAAATAACTTTTTAATTCCATAAAATGCAAAGTGGAATCAACAACATTAATAGTGTCAATATACTTGCTTCAACCATTATTTTAATCCTCTATTGTATATTTCAATTAAATATAAAAAAGTAAGTACATACGATAAAATTCTAAAAATATAACCATGATATTACAGGTTTTCTCTCATTTTACTTTCCCTTTTCATTACATTAAAATATTTCCTAAATGCATTCGTTTAAACATTTGTATATATTTTCAAAAAGCAAAAATGAACCAAAATACCCATAATATTTTATAATCGTATAAAAACAAATTTTACACTGATAGTCAATTACTTATATATCCAACATAACAGTAAGTATCACAAATATCAATATAAACAATTTATATATGTTTTATGCTATGATTTAATTTATATAAACAATCTATATACATTTATATAATATTCAAGTAAAAGTACACTCTTAAAAAATAGTTGTAAAAAATATTTCTAACAAAAGGAGCTTTTAAAGTAAAAAATAATTTAATTATAAATGAAAATACACAAATTTCAATATTCATCAAAAACAGAATTAAGCCATAGCTTAATCAATTCTAAATTTTAAAACATTAAGAAAAATAACACAAAAATGCATATCAACTAACACTCCTATATGCACAAATTTTCAGCCTTTTAGTTGTTGAATCATAAAAGTTGCCTGTTTTTAAAAAATAAAGTAAACAAATTTACTTAACTTTTCTGTGTAATCCAGCTATCAAATCGAGAGAAAAAAGCAACAATGCAAAATAATTAATTTCTTTAATCTCAATTTAAATAAAAAAGAAAGCAACTAATGTTAAGCACCTGATAACATATATTAACCTTATTTTAATCCTATAAGCATCTACATACTGCATTAATGAAGGAAATAAATCATAAAAAATAGTACTACGGTAAAAAATAAAATAGTAACAAAGTTTAACGTGTTGGACAAAGTAAATACATTAACCAGAAGCTCTTACAATTGGCACAAAAGACTTCCCTTCCCAGCTTTAGTCAAACTTTAAAGATACGAAAAATAATATTAAAAAACCTCTAGTAACATTAATCACTTAATCACAAAATAAACAATGCAGTTAAATCAGTAAGAAAACAACTTCACTCTGTCTTTTGGTTGGAAGTATCAAAACAAACAATTTTGTTAGAAACTCTTTTGACTAATCTCGTCCAAATTCCTGCCTCGTAGATGGCCGATCAATGCGGAAGAGTTCATGGCACACATTAAAGTAACCTTCATACTCAACGGAATCGGGCGTGATGTCATAATGGTAATGACCACCTTCGTTGTGGTCACTAAAACAATGAGTGTGTTCAACTCTCAAATTTAATCCCTAGATGAAAAGAATTTTTGCTTTAAAATTTACTAAAAATTATGAGGAATGCAAAAATTGCTTATAATAGAATAATATACTGATAATTTTTTTTCAAAGTGGATATTTAATTATTTGAATATTAACGAAAAAAGCAATTTCATACAAGAAAATGTCATTGAGTGTAACATAAAATCTTGATATTAATGAAATATTTTCATTGATTTAGAGGCACCAAACTGACCATCATGATGGCACTACAGCCCTTGTAGAGCCCGGCCTTCCTTAAAGAATTGAGATTTTCTCTTATTTCTTTTCTTTTTCTTGCAATCTTTTTCCTGTATTTTTCTGGAATTTCAGGTCCTCTTCTATATGTTTTTTCCATCACGTCCTCTTCCAGAACTTAACCCTCCTGGTTTTCCTGTTTATGTAATACTTTTTGACATTTCTTTTAAAGTCCATTCTTAGAATATGCTTCAAACCATTGGGATCATTTTATTCTTATATTTGTAACAATATCTGGTTCCTTAAATTTACCATAAATCTCTTTATTTGTCTCATAGATTTATCGAAGAGATCCATGACCCATAGATCTCTTATCCACTTCAATTTTTTTTTCATAGATTCTTCTTCTAGAACTTCCCCCTCCTGGTTTTCCTGTTTAATACTTTTTGACATTTCTTTCAAAGTCAACTTAAGATATGTTCAAACCATTGGATTCCTTTTATTCTTACATTAGCAACAATGTCCGGTTCCCTATATTTACCATAAATCTCTTTATTTAGATGCTCAAATGTCCTCTGAATTGATATTTGCTTTTTTTATTATTTAATAATTTCTTAACATTTAATGTTAACACTTTTATGTTATTTCGATTGATATTTGTTGATGATGATGTATTTTGAAGCCAAATGAATGACTAAATGAATCTGCTTAAAGAAAAAGAAAATAAAAAAACGAAGGCTAAGAATTTTAAAAAATATTATGCGTGGTTTGTTCACAAGCTCAAAGCATACAGTTAATTTTTTTCACTTATTCGGAAAGTTTTTTTTTTGTTTTGTTTTGTTTTGTTTTCATTAGGGATTACTTTTTAAATAACAAAATGTAATTTGAGATTTATATTTGGTTTTAATTTTTCTTTAACAGCCATTACAGTTTAATTAATGATACTAAAAAAAAAATATTGCATTAATACCTGCAACTATTACTAGTTTGGAAAAAAAATAAGATATTTGAAAAATTATCTACCAAAACTAGTTAAACACAAATGAAATACCAATAGTATCAAATGGTCTTTTTGTGTCACCTGTCAACATTGTTTAATTTGTTTTACTAGAAAAAAAATCTAGGAATTATATTTAACTTGTAATTCCTTTCAGGATTACCTAATTTTCATTTTTTAATGGCAACATACATGGCAAAGTTCTTGTTAATTCAACAGGATTTGCGTAATTCCAATTTACAGAATTAAGTCAGAAAACCAATTATACTAAATTTTAAAAAAAAGAAGACTACAAAAATAAAATTCTAATTAATAATGTAACCAAATCTAACACCCTATGAATACAAAGAGCAAGCTTTTCCTATATGTAGTAAAAATAGGACAGCATGATAGCTTCTTTTTCTTTCTGACATGCAGCAAATATTTTCCCACCATGCATCATAGATGTTTTGGTGTAACTTAGGACACAGGCCTTAAAATAAATAACACATTCAAATCCAATACCTTAAAATACCTGAAAAAATGTTTTGTTTGACATCAAGAATTTATGTACACACTTTTTGACATTTCCTTGTTAGAGGAATTAAGAAACTTGCAACAAAGTAATAATTTTATGAATAGTAATATGTTTCAATATAAAAAAAAAAGAAAAATCATAGCTTTTAAAAATGCACATTTATAATAGATACTGGATGGATTATGGAGCAACAAGGCACCTTCAACAGCACAAAAATGGAATCAAAATAGAGAAAATTTAATAAGTTTTAAGTTAAATCATAAACAACTTCTGGTAGCCTAAAGCATATGAAGAGAACTTTATCAACCATACATACCTAAATCTATAGCTCCAATTAACTAAAAAAAATTCTTTATTAATTAATTTTTAAAAAATTAAGGTCTAAAATAATTTGAACTATTGTTATAATAGCCTTTTGGTTGAAATATAAATCAAATAAAGTTTTTTAATCGATAAATAATTCTATGAATTCCTATACAAAAAGCATTATTAAAATATGATGTAATAAAAATCTGAATACCCTTTCACTCATATTCTCTACAGATGTCATAAGCTAAGCTTAAAAATTTTCTACACCTTAATATCTACAGATGAAGAATATTTTTTTTTTATCAAAATTGTGTTTGTATAATTGGCAAATAACAAAATGTGTAAGTAAACAATTCTAAAAATTACATAATTTTTATTTTTTAAATATTTTTTTTAATAAATTAAGATATTTTTGGACAACAAATTACAATACTAATAGCTTGTATATATATTATTTCATCACATTTTTATTAATGCAATACTCTTTGCATTTCTCAAACTAAAGAACTATTTTTTAATCTAAATTTAAAAAACGAAAATATGATAAATCAATGTACATTTTAGATTATAAATCGATGTGCAGAATTAAGTTAAAAAGGGTGTGAAACTGCACAGTACATTCTAACAAATATTTATTTAAAAAAATTGATTTAAAGCTTACTGCGCATACGATATGAAAACCAAATTCAAAACAGTTAAATAATTAACATCAATTGAATTATTTTAACATTATTAACAAAATATAAATCATGAAAAACATATACTTCAACACTTTTAAAACTATCTGAATATTATTCTTCTATGGCACTACAGACAATTGTGCACCCTAGTTTTGTGAAATATGTTGTTCCAATTCCGGTTCTTCGATTTCCAGTTCATAACTTTTGTTATGGTTAGATCTTTTATTACATCATCTAACCATCTCATTTTAGATTTTCCTCAGGATCTTGAGCTCATTGGTATTCAATTTAAGATTTCTCTCAGTCCTATATTTTCCTTCATTCTTTCTGTATGGCTTAGCCACACTAACATCATGAATTTATAAATAAATATTTTTTTAAATCGATACTCAAGTTCACTATTATTTCTAATTCTCCACTATAAATTGTTTATTTGAATCAGCTTAAAAAATTTTTTAACAATTTTCTATCAAATATTAATAAATTATTTTCATCTTTCTTCATCAAACTGCAGGTTTCTTCTACTATAAGTTACTACAGAGCTGATTACTGTTTTCAAATTTCATATTCAATTTATTTAGCTCTTGAATTTGTTCTTCAATAAATATTGGTATAAGTAATAGTTTTCATTTCCTTTTAGTATCCTCTAATTAATTTCATCCTAAATATTATTATAATTGATCATTGAGCCAATGTAAGTGAAACTGAAAATTCTTTCAAATTTAAAGTTATCTACCTTAAGCACATACAACTCAATGTTAATGTTACTTTACAATATTCTAATTTAAAAATAAAACAAAAACAAAATTATATGAGAAAAAACCTCTTTCAGTTAACTATATTATTTTTAAAAATAGAAATTTACTTACAGGGTCATGAGAAACAAAAGTACTTAAACATGTTAATGGAGCAGACATGTTAAAGAATTTTAACCAATTGTTGATATCATCATCACTTCTTAAAGGTTTGTCTGAATAATCTGGCTAAAAAAAAACAATAATAAAGATAAAGTACATTCAAAATAATACAATTCAGATTAAGATTTTCACTTAAATAAATAGTTAGCCTTTAAAAATACAAAACACTTAAATAAATAGTTAGCCTTATAGCAACATCAAAGTAAATTTCTCTCATTAAGCCAATGAACAATCAGATATTCTTACAAAAAATTACTGTATTGTAAGTGAGGAACAATAAACTGCTCAAAAATCAATGTAATACATACGAATCCCATTTTAGCCAATAAAGATATAGTTCATTCAAAATATATATTTAATAAATTCATAAATTGTTAATTAAGATTTTCACTCAAATAAAGAGTTAGTCTTTAAAAATACAAAAACACCAGTAGTCAACATCATAATAAATTTCTCTCATTGAGTCAATGGACAATTTTATGAAAAATTACTACATTGTAAATATAAAAAAAAAAAAACTGTTAAAATTTGTGTAATACATAAAAATTCCATTTTTGCAAATTTCAAGGGACTGAAACAATCACTACACAATAACGAAAATTTTTTATACCAATATTACGAATTTTAACAATAAGCAAAACTATTTTGTGACATTGGAATTTTTCATCTAAAAAAATTACTAAATACTTTGCAGTTTTAATATATTTGTACTCTATGTTTGGGAAAATATTAATCCAGCATTTAAAAAGCTCACAAAAATTTTTAAACTAAAACAATTAATTTAGTAATACTCTACTTATCATACAAAAAAGACATTTTTAATTTTTTTGTGCAAATGACCCATAATCAGTAGAAATTGCAAAATTCTACAAATTATGCGCATGTTCAAACAAAGCATTCCGAATAGTACATTTGTGTCAATAAATATCTTCTAGCAGCTTCCAAATAGGCCCAGGCTTGTGAAGCTGTAGACACAGTGGAAACATTTTCTTCTGAACATACTTCATCATCATTTGATTTTTCTTTATTTTCTTGTATCATACAAATTATAAACTAAATGAGTTTGTTTTCTGGTAAAAGTTTAATGAAATATTTTTATTTTTATAAAAATAAGCACACTTAAAACTATTGAATTTAGCTTCACTCATAATTACTGATATTTTAAAAGCTAAAAAATTGCACAAAAATTAATTAAACATAAATCATAATAAGAATTTAAAACTTAAAAGTACCTTTTAATTTAATTTAAAAAGTTTCTTTTTAATAAAACTAAATAAAAAGAAAAACCAAGTTATCAATGTCGCAAGTGGACTTATTTAGTTTTTCTATCAACCCTTCACAATTTTAAAGCGACTATATGAATAGTTTAACAAAATCCAAAATATAATTTCATAAAAATTCGAATGTAATATATTTCTTACCATGATATGAAGCTTAGCTTTTCCCTTCTTAATAATGAAGACACCACCTATTCCTACTGGTTTATCTTTAAAATAATCAGCAAGAATTTTTCGCATTGCTGTAACAAAGTTTTCAGAGCCCTTTCTTTCTTTAGCTACGACTTTAATAACCTGAAATAATAATTAATATATGTTATTGTAATATGAAAACATGAAATAAAATATATAACCAGAAGATTTCTTAATAATCCAACTCATAAGAAACAGCAGAAGTTGCAAGAATTTAAAATTTAATTAAGTCTTACTTAGATTATTGCGATTTAAATAAATAAAAAAATTCAGACAAAAAAATATATTATAAATTATGAAGCTTTTTACAGTAAAAGATACAACACAATGAGCTTAAAGTATAGATCAATTTTTAATTAATTGATATTCAATATAAACTTCTATTTCTTAATAATAAAATGTCATTGCTACTTTCCCGTTAATTATGCCTAAGACCACCTAGATGTTTTATGTTTATTTAGGTTGTATTGTTTATTATGTTTATTTAGGTATTACTTGTTTTGAAAGAGTAAAAATACTTAACAACTATTCTTAGAGTGAGTTTCTCAAAATGTAAAAAAAATGAAACAAAATTTTAGTTGTTTAGTTTGAATATTATAATGGGCGCTAAAATAACAGCATGTCTATGAAATAGCAAAAGGGATTTTACGTATTAGTAATTATAATAGAAAGGTTGTAATAATGGTGGTCATGATAATGAGTGTAAACTACTTTTCTATAAAGTTTATTTGCTCCATACAATTTTTTAGTTTCTAAATAAATATAATTTTAAAATTGAAATGCATCTGACGTCAACTATTACATTTATCTTAAAAAAGCATTGTGCATACACATTTATCTAACAAATTTTATGAAATGTATAATTGTTTTGAACAGAAAGAAAAAAAAATATGTAAGATGCAGATAGACACACCAAGTCAAATTATTCAATTACTTTTTATTTTGATATAATTTTTTAAAAAAAAGGAAGTTTGAATACTTTCTTTTTTACCTATTAGCAGTAAAAGTGCTAAAAATATATTGCGCTCTAAGTTTCTGGATGCTCGCGGAACACTAATTTAATACTTGATTTAAATAATCAAGATATTCAGCTATCTAATTTTAATTTTGTAATGCATTCCAACAGCTCAAAATTACTTTTTCTGCAATTGAATTTTCGGAAAACAGTCGGAACTTATATGATGTTAAAAAAATACTTAATTGGTTAAAAGAAAAAGAGAATAAAATATATATATATATATATATANATATATATATAAACATTTATAACGTCTGATTGGATGATATATGAGTTACATATCCTTGCCACTACTATATTCACTTTCAGCTCGTCTCATAAATTTTACCTACCTTCAAAAGCAATGAGATCTAAAAACTCAAAAAAAAACCTTTTCGCTCTTTGAATTAATCAAAAATAGACCAGAAGGTAGCAATTTGTAATAATACTCACAAACGCAACTATTTAAAGTCATTGAATGCATCATAACTATTAAATAAAATTATTCAAAAGATTTTACCTTTCCTGGTTTTCCTTCGGAAACATACAAGTTTCCAAGCAGACAAAACTTGGTGCTGTCTTTTAGATGAATGAGTTCTGAGCCATCCTAAGCAAAACAAAATTATAACAATTTTTTGAAAGTGTCTAAGTAAACTTAATTTTTAAATTGGCAAAAACTGTTTCAAGACAAAGATTTTAAAAAATATGTGCAAATCTAATCTAAGTTTAACACTTTTTGTATGCTATTGCGCTAAATTTATAAATATATATACATATATATTTTATAACTAAAACACACAGCCAAAAAAAAAGAACATTACAAATACATTTGTCTTAAAAATATTTACTAGATCTCTTTCATAATCAACAGAAAGTTATTTAAAAGTAGTATTATCCAAACCCATATTTAAGAAATGTATGAAAAAGTGCAATTAGGAAGTAAATTGGTAAAAATCAATTTTAAGTGTGAAAATAGAAAAGAGTGTGACCAAAAGTTAAATAATTTTTAATTTTCAGTGATTTTGCTTGAAATATTTATGTTTAAGAAGAAATAAACAAAGATGGACAAGAGTCGGGGATTGGCGAGTGGAGCGAGTAGATGTCTGAATTTCCTAGTATATTATAAAAATTTTAATTAGTCAGTGCCATTAGTCCAAAGCTGCAAAACTGAAATCGGCCGTGAAGTGGCAATAAAAAAAACATATTAGGCAACCATCCCTAGCTAAAAGTGGGAAAAGTAAACAGGCTTTGCAGTTTTTGAAAATCAAAGAAATAAAATTTAAACAGAAAGCAACTATTAATCTTTTATATACTTAGTTCTAATTAATTCAAACATTTCAAATTTTTCAGATTATTAAAATGTTACATTGTTTTTAAATAATAACATATTAGGCCCAATAAGTGGATTTAAAAATGTATGGATGGTATTGAACCAAATTATAAAACCCGGCTTTGTATTTGTAAAAAAAAAAACATTTAATAGGAAATCTAAAGAAAAATAATAAAAGAAATCTTCTAACTAATATTTAAAACATAAATTAAAAATACCTCAGTTATTTTTGCTATACGAGTGTTGATCAAATCTTCATCTCCAAGCTTAACATTCGCCATCATCTGATATTAAATAATTAATCAATAATTAGATTTAATGAAAAAAGTTTTAGAATTACAAGACAGTCAATAAATAAAATTACATTTTTAAAGAATTCATTTACACCAAACTTTTCATATTAAGAAATATAAAATAATTCAACAATTTTTCCAAACAAATCAGAATATACAAAATGTTTTGGAATGGAAAATTTAAAACAACAATGCATACATAGAATAACCCACAATTTAAACACATGAGTGTTTTCAAATAAAAATGCAATTATCAATGTCATATATTAGATGCATAATATTGTAGTTAGCGATGCCATACGAATTCTATAGCACTATTAAAAAAATTTTCAAATGTATAGAATTGAATAATGAAGAAAACTTACACTTTAAGATAAGAAATAATAACTTGGGCTGGGCAACAAATTGTGAAATATTGAGCATATTTTGTCAGGGTGATACAATGGCTTTCGCTTCTTGCGGTGCTTAGGAACTGTAACTTAAGCTGCCAATATAAGATGTTCAGAATGGGACAACATAACAAACAAGGATTTTTGCCTACGCTAACACTGTTATCACCCTGATAAAGATGATTTTAAATTCGTCTAACTACAAAGACAATGTTTACTTCATGATGTTGAAGGCAAGGAGCAAATTTAATCAGTAGTCGCTTTTTCATGTATAGATCAGCGTGAGAATGAGAAATAAAATGCTTTGTTTTTTTTTACACCCTTTTTTCATTACTTTACAACATTTTCAGTAGGACTTCTGTTGCTATGCTATCACTATTATTTCATCACCTTTCTTTTTTTCTGGGCATTATCAACGGTTGTTATAGATTATTTTAAATAGGACTTTTGTTACTTTTGGATCACTCTACAATACTTCATCACCGTTTTTTATGTGGATTAAACACCTTTTTTGTAGATTATTTTTAACAGAACTTGTGCAATCGCTATGCCTTATTTCATTCTGAACTCAATCTATTTATGAAAGAAAAAACATAGATGAAAAAAGATCTCCTCATTATTGTTCTTTTTAACCTTTTATTTTTTATTTTAAGCTTTGCAGTCTATTAGTGGTCCGTTTGCATTCAAATAATATTTTCTCTGCAATAATACATTTGTTTATTTTTCTCTCTTTTTTCTTTTTAATTCCTTGCTATAAGTATAATAATTCAATAAAAGTTTATTATTTTTAAAACAAAAAATCTGAAGTTGTTTTTATTTATAAAAAAATAAAATAAAACAAAGCTTACATTTATTTATTTGGCCATTAGTCAATACAATTCTTTAAAATTAAAAACATTACAATGTTTTTAAAACAGCATATTTTTTTAAACTCATTTAATACTTTAAATGTATTTTGTTAGTTTCCTCACTGTTTTTTCGTAATTCTTACAAAATTTCTCAATTTATATTAGTCAAACATCTTTTCGTTTTAAATTTACAATTATTTTCAATCTTAGTGATTTTTCGTCGTTTTATTTTTGAAAAAATAAAACAGTTTTTGCATTAATTTTTTTTCTTTTTCTTTTTTTTAGAATTCAGCAATTAGTTAAAATGCCTTAATTTTTTTAATTCGATAAGAAGTAAAGTGATGTTTTAAAACTAGCATCAACAGTAATACTACTTTCATTATTTTCAATTTTTTTAAACTTTTCTTTAAATAGGTACATTTTGTTAGAAATTCAGTGCCATTTTTAAACTAGTAGATTCTAAGATCTAAGTAGATTATTTTATTACTTAACTAGCTTTAATATTTAAAAAAAAATATCACAAAATATGTACAAATCTTACTCTAGAATTTTACAAAACTTTTTTTTAAAAAAATTACCTCACAATTTGTTCCAATATGCGGACGTGGTCCAGCACCAGCACCTATCATTAAGGCAGTAGGCATATCTATGCTTTCAGCTATTAACTTGAAATCATACACCTGAAAAACAATTTCATTTTAAAAACATAATTAAAAAGTTGATTTCATTATAACTAGTATCAAAGAAAAATTTTTTTACTTAGTTTAATATAAATCAATTAAGTAACACATTTTAACTTTTATTTATAAGTCTATCATAACGTCTTTAGCTTTTAGGTAACAGATAGTCTATATTTTAATCTAATATCTTATTTAAAGTCTATATTCCATATTATAGTTCTATATTTTGATAAGTTTTACTCACTGACCATTATGTGAAACAAAAATTTATAACATCAAAGAATCTTTAGGAATAAAAGTTACATGTTTTAATACAACAAACAATACTGGAGTATACAGAGCATATTGGTCATTTTACATACTTGTTTATTGGCTGTGAAAATAAAAATTAATTTTTTTTTCCTAAAGAATTCAAATATATTTTATTAAGTCTATAGTTAAAAAACTATGCATCTTAATAACTTTATAACAAATGAAAAATATATTTTTAGTATAGTTTCACAAATTTAACATTTTTCTCAGCACTACTTATGAAAAAAGTACATAAGTTTAATTCAAATAACAATATTATTTCAGTTCAATTATTTTCTTTGCAATCTGCATCCCTTCGGCTACACTGAGTAACAAAAAATTTAAATTTCCATCAATAGTTAGTCAAGTTTTTTATATATTTGAAAATAGTAAGTTTAACTTCATAAGAAAATTTTAAATATAAGATTCATGAAATACAATTTTTCAACAAAAATTGTTCTTTAATTTTAATTTCCAAAAACATTTCTCAACAAACAATATATAGTTAAACAGAGTTCTCCTTAGGAATAAAAAAGGGCACTTCCTCCCTTTTTTATTCCTTCAAAAAGGGAACTGTGAATTTCGAAAGGGCACTCAACGTAAAAATTTATCAAATTGTGTAATATTATGTAATAACTGAATTTGATTCTCAACAATTTTTATATTACCCTCTACTATTTTATTACTTTAAGGAACTAAATAGAGCATAAGGTCAATAACTAAATAGATCAAATAATTCATAAGGAACTAAATAGTAAACTTAAAACATGAATTATCATTTATATGATATGGTCATTACATTACTTTAGGTAATATTTGTTTTCCTTCATATTAGCTGTCATAATGTCAGAATGCATTTTTGCACTTTGCTGCAGTTTTAGAGTGCAGTGTAATATCATAACATCATAACAAATTTTAACTAAACGTGAGCTATATTTTATTTAGTATGTTCTTTCTAAATAGCAATTAATAAATTGAATTAAAAGATGCACATGTTAATTGTGAATAATAAGATAGAAAAACGCCAATAAAGACCAGCTTTTTTAAACATAAGTCAGTTTTTTTTTTTTACTAAAAACCTGCTAGCTTGGACTTTTTCTGGAAAAGCCAGGTCTTTGAAACTCTGATACAATACATATAAAAAATCTTTCTAGTGTTTTTCTACAATTAAACATTACTTTGTCTTTCTGAGCTAAAGGTGCTAAATATTCCACACCACCAACATCAGCAAGGCAAGGTCGCTCACAGATACCTATAAAATATAACCAAAACAATCTTAAATATTTACACAAAAATGTAAAATTGTTTTAAAAAATATTTATAAATACCTTCTGCCGAAAGCATAAATGGTTTTTCTCTCATATCTGGACAATCAACAACTTTAACATCAACATGATTGAATGTTTCCAAGAGACCTTTTTGGAGTGCTGCAATATAATTTACAAAAATACACTTAGATTTAAAAAAATTAAGATCTTTATTATATTTATATTCGAATTCAAACTAGCTGAAATAAAAACACTGTCAGGGCCGACTATTATATTGCAATAATACGCTGATGCTCTTTAAATTACCTCATGGTTAAGTGTTATTTTTTGGCAAACTACTAAAACATCTAACTTCATATGTATTTATTTTATCGTGAAACTAGTGCAATTTCATTTTAAGGCTAAAAAGTAGGCATTGATAGTGTTTGGATTTGTAAATCTGTTTGTGTGTATAAAGACTTTAGTCAATGATATTATTTCACTTCTCTACTACTATTACTCATTATAAACTTTTACATTGAGGTCATCGTCTAGAAATAAGCTATTTTCTGGTAGTAACAAAAAAATTGTATCAGAAATTTCTTATTTTTTGAAATAAAATGCAGGAGAAAAAACTAGACATGAAAAATATAGCAATCATGTTTAATATTTACAAAAATATAAAATATATTATAAATAAAGTGAGAGAATGATAATATTGTGCAGAAATAATAATTTCATTTTTTAAACATACTTAAAATAATAATTTTAACGAATAGATTTAAGTATATGCCAGTCCTTAATTGCTTCAAAAAATAACAAATTGAAACAAAATTATTATTTTTAACACACACTTGCCGTTAAAAATATTATATAATTAATCCCTCAGAAAAAGTTCATTATCTCACAGTGAGGAAATGATAATAGAGAAGGAATAATGAAATCATCATTAACTTTTAAAGTTTATACCCATAAATAAGATTAAAAATAAAAATACATATTCCTAATCTGACCTATTGAAGGAAATTAAAATACTCAGTAATACATTTTTAGAAATTAAATTAACTTCATAAATAACAAGAGTGCTATTATCTCATTATGAGGGAATGAGAAAATAACTATTATTTGCTTCTTAAGTTTTATCCTCATAAATAAAATTAAAATGACATTATACCAGAGATGCCAAAAATGTCTGATTGCACAAATGAGGTTTTAGGGAAATTCAGGTTACTAATTTTAATTTACAAAAAAAAAATTTAATTATGAAATTAGACAGAACACACTGTCTCTGAATAAACATGCCTCTTTTTGTAGAATGTGGATATTTGACACTTAAAATAAGAGAGCTAGCTACAATTTGAAAAGCATGGTTTAATATTCATATTAATTTATATGTACTTCAGCATTAAATCTTTTAAACTATTTTTTTAAAAACTAACATTTTGCAAGCACTATAGTAAAACCAGCTTATCCAAAGGTAATTCAAACCGAAAAAGCAATTTTTTTTTACTTAATTTAGTAACAATGGAAAAAAACCTACAAATTCTAAATTATATAAATCTAAGCATAACATAAATTAACAAAATCTAGCTGGTTAAATCAGCTTCAAAAACATAAGTTCAGAAAAATTACTTTTTTTTTCTTTTTATTTGTACTCAGTTATGGCAAAATTTGAGCAAAACCAGTAGAACATGTCTAAACCATCCAGTTGATTTTGCTCAAGCTTCGTATTTAAAATTTTAATAACATACAATTCAAAAAATATTTTATTAAATAAAATGATAAAATAAAACAATTATACTTTATGAAATTATCTTTAGATAAAGGAGTTTTTCTACTGTATTCAAAGATTTTCAGATATCTTAAATAGTTCCAGAGCATTAGAGACAAAAATAGTCACTTAACATCTTATAACTATTGAAACCATAATTTATAGGATATATTTTGATAGTCAGCAATTAAAACCCAAGAAAAATTTTATTTTATTCAGAGAAAATACGTTTTATGGCTGATTTCAGACCTGATTCATAAATATAGTCTGCACAAATCAAATAGCATTCAAGTATGATGTGTCTTGAAAATGGGTCCTTAATTTTAAGCGATCGAAACTTTTCCACTTTTTCTAGCATATTAATTTTAGTTTTTACATTATCAAGTATTATCCAATATGTTTGTCGTATAAAATCGTGTGTGTCAATGCCATATTTACCGTGTTTACGTGCAAAAGCCGGTAAACATAGATTTCAAATCCTCATCAAATAACTGTTAACTTAGCCAGTCCTTACGCTCATTAGAATATAAGTTATATCTAAAAAAATTCGAATAGGTTTAAGAAAATTTCAATTAAAACATTTATGAACACACTTTTTCTTAACTTAGAACATATTAACTATTTAAACTAAAATTTTAAAAAAGAGCTACCTTCAGCTACTTCCCTTAGAGAAGCGCAATGCAATGCCAACTTTTCAACTTTCATGTTGTTTAGTTTATAACAAATGAAAATTAAAAACAGAAATTAAATTCGAAAAATTAGCCCAAAAATGAACACCAAAACTAGCAGAAGAGATAACAAAAAAAAAATCACATGAAAATTTAAAGTCACGGTCAAAAACATGAATAAGTGTTTTGTTTATAAAATAAAAATTTTAAAAAATGGTTCTTACTGTTTTGTTTCACTACAAAAATGAACAATATCTTACTTATTTAGTTAATGACGCTTAATTGAAACGCTAGTTAATTGATTTAGTTAAAATGCAAGAAGTTAGTTTCTTATCATATGTGACAAATGCCTGCTACAATGATTTAGAAGAAGTGTTTCTTTAGTTTCTGGCAACAAAACATTAAAACACGTTTTTGTTTGTTGATGTTGGGTTGTTTTATAAAACTTGCTTAATTTTAAAAATATTAACTATACACAATCTTGTTGTTCCGATTAATAAATCAACACATGCTTGTTCTTTTGACGAAATAAACGTCCTGCTAACATTTTGCTTTTTAGGGAAATTTATCTTTTTTAAATATGCGAATGAGATTACATCGCATAAATTTCTTTGAGCCTACACCTAAGGCTGTCCGATGCTTGTGTTACGATGAGTCTATATATCGTTTAGCTGTACTGAGGTAATATTTTCAAATCTTTGTTAACATATTATTTTCTATTTTGTTTATGTATATCAAAATATATTTTTCTCTTGTTAGCATGCTTGTATCCATAATAGAACTCGTTGAATCGAACTGATAAAAGTATTTTATTTAGAAATGCTTTTATAAATAGAGTTTTTAAAATTGTTTCCTTTCTCTTATTATAATGGTTTTATGATAAATTGTATCGGTCAGCTGCATTGTTATGCTTCACAGCAGCGGTTCGCCAAATATGTTCCACACGTAGAACAGTTACAGAGCTTCTGAGAGTTAGAAATTTTTTAAATAATAATTTTTGAAACCTATCTTCATCTTTAGATCTAAACTATGATTCATTATTTATTTCATTTTACAGTTCATTTTATGAAATAGTGTTAGTGAAATTTGAAATACCAGTGATCTATCAAAATTTAAAACTGTATATATATCAGTAAACAGTGTATTTATTACATTTTACAGTTAATTTTATGAAATAGTGTAAGTAAAATACTAGTGATTTAGTGATATTTAAAACTGTTTATATACATTAATAAACAGTGTATTGGATGAATTATAACTAGGCATTTCTATTAAATTGCATTTGTAAATCGCATCAAACTATTCAATTTAGAGTAACATAAATCAACGTTTTTAACAATTCATTTTCATTTCATTGAAGCTTAAATTAAACTGATCAGTTTAAACTTATTTGTTCTGTTCCATATTCGTTTTTTTTTTCTTTTCCACTTATAAATAAAACAAAATCAAATGTTAAAATGCTAAACTAAATTTGACTCAATGACTGCAAATTCAACTGCCATACATAATATCTAGTTTTAAGACTATTTAGTTAAAACAATGAAAAATTATGATTTCAATGACATAATTACTTTGGAGTGCCTTCTTGTGCCAGAATATTAATCCTTTAAAATACATTTTATTTTATCAAATTTTTTGATTCATTTAAAAACAACTATTAGATTGACAAAAATTTGAAATTCGCATTTCTTTTCGAAAACTGAAAAATGAATTTAAAATATTTGCTTATACATTAGCAAAATATGAAGAAAAAGAAATTATACATTCTAGTCGCTTTAAATTTTTATAAAAATTTTAAATTTGTAATCTAAATTGATATTAAATTTTTTTTTTTTTTTTTTAGAGCTGATTATGCAATTGAAATCTGGGATATGAAAGAAACCCCATATCTGGAAAAGGTAATGTTTTTCAATTTCTATCAGTACTTGTGCTTTTACTTCATTCAGATCTTACAGTGTAAAATTTATCTTATTGTATGTAGAATGAAAATTGTATGATACCTCATATACATTTGTAGCATATTGATAGTAAAATGTTTATGTAATTTAAGAAGTAAATTTTGAAATAGGAATTTTTTATCATGTGACCTGTTAATGCATTTTTTCATTTAGGCAAATAATTTAGTCTCTCATCTGAATAGAGCACACCAAGTACTGCAATTTTCAGGCTGAAATTTGTTAGATATACACAGAGTAGATGCGGTTATTTTATCTATATGTAAGCTTTACAGGAAAACTTATCAACTATTTTAATTGATTAATAAATTCTAAAATATTAGCTGATGATGTAAAGATCAGGCAAGAGATGGAATATAAATTGTGATTAAAAACGGACAATACCTTCGATTTTCAAAAGCTTGTTAACCTATTCAATTCTTTGCTTATTTTCCCACATTTTCATTACTTTAAATATTATCTTTCTATTGCAATCAGAGTTATCAAGTTTTTGACATATGATAATTTTTAACAAAAGATAAGGCTTTCATGATGAAAAATGCATGAAAAACATTTTTGAAATTGTTTAAACATCTTGAGTTTAAGATGTGTTTTTATAATGTGTTTTTATAATGATTTTCTTAACAGAAACAAAATAAAATTGAAATTGGATTCTTATTGCATTAATATAGCATTGGCAATATTAAAATAGCGTAACTGTAAACACTTTAGAAATTGGTCATCATAAGGAGGACTCATATTAAATTCGATCAACAGTGTAATCATAATCTTTTTTCTTCTCCTTTTTATCTCTAATCATAATCTTTTCTTCTTTTTTTTTTCTTTTTGGTCCATAATTATTATCTTCTATTTTTAGAAGTCGCTTTGTTTTATATCTGAAATTCTAACATCATGTTGTGAATTTTAAACAATTCTATTATCCATTTTAGGTTTAAATTTTATAAATAAAAGTATATATTTGTATGTATCATGTTTTATTTAGTATGAAATGTATTGCACTGTTTTAAATGCTTCAAGATTTTTTCTTCTTCTTTTAGGTAATTCAAGGAGATGACAGTATTTCAGTGGAAGCTTTGTCTTGGTGTAATGGTCGTTTGTTTTCTGGTGGGCTGCATGGCTATGTCTTAGAGTATGATATGAATGATCTACAATCAAAAGTAAATTTATTTTCGTTCAAACTAAATTTTAAAATTTGTAAATTAAATTAAGATTGCTAATTTGAAATTTTTTTTGTAATTTGAAAATTTATATTATTTTTAGAATCAACTTCTTGTAACTTCTGGATGTCCTATATGGTGCATGGCTGTCAATGAAAAAAGGACTCATTTAGCAGTAAATTATGTTTTCTTAATCTTGTGATTATAAATGTGGGTCGTGTAAATACCCAGTGGGTATTTACGCCACCCACATCAATATATCAATTTCAGAAAAAATATAAATTCTCAGTAGAGGAGCTACATTGTCTCATTGAAAAAGTAATGTAAAAAGTTTTGTTTTATGCATTATCATAAAGTATAAACTGGATGAAATAGACTAAATGAATAAGCACAGGGAACAGGTTTAAAATTTCTGAAATTTGTTGATTTCTATATAGTTTATAAATTTAATACAAGTAAACTGAAACTAAAAGTTTCAAATCTTATTCAGAAAAAAAACTGTAGCATAACACTATTAACATAATTATAAACTATTAACATAAAACTAAACATAATATTGTAGTGAAATCTTAAAATTTCATTTACGGCCCAAAAAATATTAAATTTTTAAATTTAATTTTTATATTAATTATTTTGCAAACTTTTCGAATCAATTTTATGTATTTAAATCACTAAAAGAAAATTAATAAATACTTTTTTTCCATTCCTGTAAGTATTATTAAATTTCAGTTTTGTTATTAAATTTTTCTAAAAAATTAGTTGTAGTAAAACTTGATATATATTTTATTTATTTATTATATTTGATATAATAAATAATGTATGCAAATCTTTGTTTAGAATTATTCAATAAGTTCATTAGACTTAGTCAATCAGTTAAGTATTTTGTGCATCTAATTTTAAATGTAGAAAAATGAAGAGTACCCCCCCTCCTCAGGAATAGTTTTTTTAGAGGAAGGAGCAGAAACATATTAAAACGTAACATGCAAAAATATTGAAAGTCTTGTAATTATTAAGCTTGTTATTGTTTAATCAATTAGAATTAACTAAATAATAACTCAAAAATTTACAACAAATTTAAATTAAAATATTAGGCATTATCATTCAGATATATATGGATTCAAGGATTACATATTATTCGTATGAGCGAAAGTTTCATGCGTTAAATTTTCTAAAATAAATTATTTAAAATCTGAAAAAATTTTACAATTTAAAAATAAATTTTTGGCAAAACTTTCCTAGTTTTGATGTTGGATTTGAAACCACAAATATTGAGACTTGTGAATTGAAATATGAACTTCCGGATGATTAAACCACATCTACTCTGAAATAAAAACTAAAATACTTCGATTTCAATAGTTTAAATGTTCAAACAAAGGAATTTTTCTTTTCGGTAAATAACTAATTAACCATTGACATTGTAAGCAAAACTTAATTGTACATTAAATATATATATTTTTGTAAAACCTAAAAGAAAAACATGATCATAGAATTTTCAATATAATACATAATATTGAAAGGCAATATTCAGTATTTACCTGGGTATTTTGCATCTATACTTATGAGTACACAGTTGATAATTGTAATTGTGCAATTATGTTCTTTGTAGATATAATCCTCAAAAACATGTGTCTGAGGTTGTTGTTTTTTTTGTAACTAATGCTTTTTTTTTTTAATATATTTTATTTTCACTCTATATATAATAGATGCTGCATACCTAGAAAGACTTAAAGAGCTAGTGTGCCCTTCCCATATTGTTGATGCATAAATCAATTAGACATCTAAACTCTTAAAATATAATCATAATTAATTTAATGAAAGCCTGTAATAAACTTGATAATCAAAATTCTATGGTTTTTTGATTTGGTTCACTAAAATATTTGATTTGAAAGAGCACTAACATTTCAATTATACTTATATATGATTTTCTCAGATAATTGAGTTTGCTTTTCTCTATGAATAGTAATCATCATACATATGTTGAAATATATATGTATATTTTTTAATAAAACTGGGATACTTCATACTTACCAAAGGGTATACCAAAACCTTCGTGACGTTATATGATAACTGTCAAAATATCTTAGGCCTAAGGTATTTTGACAGTTATCATATACCTTAGGCCTGCCATTCTAGATATAAGGTTCTATGTGTCCATTTCTAAAAGTATTACAAATGAATGTTTAAATAAGCACTTAAATTTTATCAAATCATGAAATGTCAGAAATACTCAAAACTTTGAATAAGTAATTTTTTGAATCACAGAGCAACAAAAGAGGTGAGGGGCCAAATTGTCCCAATTTATCGCTTCAGTGTTAAACAAATATTATTTACTTTTTCTGTATGATATTTTATTGTATTTCTTTTAAATAGGTAGGCAATGAAGATGGTCATTTGAATTTACTTGATGTATCATCTGAAGAAATTTATTTTGACAGAAAATTTGATAATCAAGAGGGTAAGAGATTTAAATTACCATAAAATATCAGCTTAGGCACCCACCCTGAACTCAACCGAAGTAGGGGTGTAGCAGATTAAACAGTAGTAAGAGGAAAATGAATGAAACAAACTAAGATTTAATGAAATGTAACAAGCTAACATTGATAATTATTTGACCAAAGTCCTTTAAAGAAATAATAAAGCCTTTTAAAAGTTAATATATACCTCTGTCCTTACCAAAAACATTTTAAATTTTAGTATACTTGATTAAGAGAAATATTCTACATTTTTAAAAAAGAACCAAACTAGATTTAAAATAAAGCACCTAGCTTGACCTCTCGCTCTAATCAAAGAAGCAAAATCTTACATCATTTTAAATGTAGAATACATAAGAAAATTTCTGTTTCTGTGTTCCAACATTTTTTTTTTCATCAGAAATGGCATCATTTCTATAACTGCCCTGTGCCCACGAGTACTTGTTTCCATAGTTCATACTTCCTTAAACTTAGGTTTGCAATATGTTGTAACAATCTTAATAATTAAATTATGTTACATTTTATTCACAAATATTTTTTATGTAATATCCACACAAAAAACCTTTTACTACTATTTCATGTGCTAAAAAAAATTGTGAATAATTATATTTATCCATAATGTAAATTTTTATATAATTATTACATTACTCATTATTCAATATTTTTCATAATCATTTTACATTTATTGTCTTATTATTAATAAATACAATAATTATACCATAGTGTTTTTTATTTGAAAGTTACAGAAAATTTGTAGAATCTAATCCACAAAATTACAGAATTTTAATATTTAGGTTTTACTGTAACATCCCTTCTTTTTACTGTAAAAACATTGAAAAATGTCATAAAAATATATCACTTTATAGAAAATTAAACTTATTTTCTGAAACGGGATCATTTAATTAAAATTTGTTAAAATCTTTATATTAGAAACGTTCATTTTAAATGATCTATTGAAAAAAGAACATCAGGCACTGTTTTTTAAACTATTGATTTATTTTTGCCTTATTTTTTAGTATTATCTTTTTAGAAAGTAAATTATTTTTTTATTTTATTTTAGTTCTATGAAAAATTTGTATGTAATAAGTAAAATAGTTTACAACAAAATAATTCTTATTATTTAAAGTGTATCTTTTTTTAAACTTTAAATTTTTAAGCTGGAATTCCTTTTATTAATACTATAGATATATCGATCATGTTACTGTGAAGTGTATTATAATTATATTATTGTATTTTTATTATTTTTTTTACCTGATTTTTGATTAAAGCTATTTAAAATGTAAATCCTGTAGATTATTTATAAATATTTTAGGTGCTATTCTTTGTCTAAGCTGGCATAAAGATGGGCTTGTCATTGCTACTGGTTCTCTTGATGCTATAAGAACATGGGATGTTTATACTGGTCATGTGATCAATCGCATCATGTTAAGTAGAGCAGCAAAAAATACCCCAACAGTTGTTTGGTGCATTGCTATTTTGAGGTATTTACTTAATTCTGTTCAGATATTACAATTCTTCCAGACACCAAATTCTCATAATTAAGTTGTAATGATCATTAATATTTTTATGCAAAATGCAAATAAGTTTGTCATAGCTTTATTTTTCTTTTTTTCCATAGTAGTAGCAAATTTGTGTCGATAATGATTTTTTCATGTGTATCATTAACAGTGTTATTCAATATTTTATAAAATCAAAACAAAAGCTTTTAGCTATTTTATAGTTTTCAAAAAGAATGTTTTACTTTTTTAATGCCTAAACTAAACATCCTTTTTCATGTTATGCTCTTGATTACAGTGCTACTTTCAAAATTATTTTATAATTTTTTTTCAATCTTAAGAATTTGTGCATTATGGAAGAAGCATTATGTAAGACTTTAATATTTACTCTATAATTGTAACAAACAGTACTACATTTTTTTTTTTTTTTTTTTTTTTTTTTTTTTTTTTTTNTTTTTTTTGCTTACTATCTAACACCATGTTTAATATAAAATCAAAATATTGTGAAAAATTCTTAAATAGAAGTAATAAGTTTTATTTTTATTTAAAACAAAGTAAACCTCAATTGAAAAAAAAAATTTAATCTAATCATTACAGGGAAATATATTCAAAATGCAGAAGTTATTCAAATTGTAGTCACCTTAAATTAGGAAAAATATAATGTAATGGTGCTATTAATTCCATAGTACCCTAAATATGTGATAAATATGACTATGAATCTATATAGTGAAAATTAAATAAACACATCCATGCTATAAATCGACCTTAAGTTTACCAAATAAGGCAGCTGCATATTTCATCCTTTTTTAAGTGGAGAGTAATTGAAAATATCGTTCAGTAATATTAATTATTAATGAATTCAATTAATTATTAATTCAGTATCATTAAAATGAAAATTCAAATATATACATTTACGTTTTTACATGATTAATAACTTAGTTTAAATGTTTTTGTAGAGACATGACCCTTGTCAGTGGAGATTCTAGTGGCAAGTTGTGTTTTTGGGATGGTAACACAGGAACTCTAATCTCAGTATGTTGATTTTATTTATATTGTTTGAATTGGTACTCGTATTAATACGAAGATTTTATTATATTTTCCCTTTCTTTCTAGAGTGCTGGTTCCAAAAAGGGTGATATTTTAGCTATTGCTGTAAGCAAGGTAAGCAATTTTAATTAATAATGTAATTAGAAAAAAATTTCTTCATGCAACAATTGGATTAAATAATTTAACCAAATGTTTAATTTATATATATTTTAGAGACAATTTTAAGTACTGGTGAACCATTTTGTTTAAATGAGCTGTTCTGTATGATTTTGTTTGAACTTAATTCCAGTATGAATGAATAAAAAATAAAAAAAAGTACTACATTTGGTAGCAACTCTACAAGTATTGAAAATATGTTAATCAAAATAAATATTTAGAAATGTCTGTTTCATATTTTGTTTACTTTGATTCATTATAAATTCAAATAATTATCCTTGCTATCTAGTAAAATCTTAATATAAATTAGATTTACAGCTAGTCTCTAGAATAATTTGGAATCTGTAGAATAGTTTTTAACCACTTCTATTTCCCACTCATGCATAAATATTAGGGGAACCTAAAAGGTTTAAATATGTTGTCACTCTTTTCTTCCCTTTGTCTCTGGGAACATCTAGTTTGAGTTTCATTATAAATATCAATTAGTTAAAAGCTTCATTTAAATTTCTTTAATAATAAGGTGGAATGATCAATAAAAACATTTTAAAATGTTAAAGTTTAATTCCTCCTAGTTGAATTATAAAATGTTTTAAAGAATTAAAACTATAAAAAAATTTGTCTGAATTATTAAAACTTAATTTCTAGCATTATTTAGACAAGCAGAAAAATAATTATTATTTTTTTATTCGAAACACCTGCTAGAAAATATTTTTAAGGAATTTTTGTGTCCTCTTTGTGTATAGAACAAATTGTATTTCATCTGCTCTGTTTTTATTTATTTCTATAAATTCTTTAGAATGAAAAAGAGATATATGCTAGTGGTGTGGAACCTATCATAATGAATTACTTGAAATCTCAATCTAATGGCTTATGGATGAAAAGTGTTCAAAGGCTTGTGCATACACATGATGTTCGGAGCTTGCAATTAGTGGGGAATCTATTGGTTTCAGGAGGTAATTTGAAATAGCCATGAGTCATAAATTGCTAACATTTATAGTTTCTGCATATTAGAATAGAACTGAAGTATTCACTTACTATCTAGAATATAAAAGGGAGGAAAAATTATTGAATTTGACAATTATTTAATAAAAAATAAGTTTTTATATAAATAAAAATAAGTTTTCGTAAATAAATGTTTAATATTAAGTTTCCTTGCGTTATAAAATTCTTTAAAAAGTTTTAAAGTTAAATAAACTTAAAATATTACTTTTATTTAAATCTTGGCTATTAATCCAGAAGTTACTATAATTTATCTGAGAATTACTACATTTAGAGACTATATTATAGTCTCTAATTGTAGTAATTCTATAATTATAATAATTATCTCCTGCATAGACATAGCCTGAGGGGACACACTTTTTGTTTGACTGTTTTAAATTTCATATTTTTGTTTGACTGTTTTAAATTTCATACATATATTTATAAATATGCATACATATAAAAAGTAAATATGCAGATATACTTAACACATTTAAAATAAGCAAACAGTTTTCTGAAAATAAAATGTGACCCCCTTCCCACTATGCCTAAGATCTGATTCAATGTAGTAATTATTGTAAAGTATATACAAATCTACCTTTAACTTGTATGTACGATTATATATAATTTACCTTTGTTAACCCTGAACTCATTTCATGGAATGCCCAGTTTTCTTTCCTTCTCATAAATCAATTTTCTGAGATATTATTCAATGCATGTTTTCAGTAGCATACATGGATTTAGGTGTGTCCCTATGCAATATTTATAATTGTACCTTATTCTAGACTTACCATACAAAATTATAATATGAGATAAAAACACTGTGATGGAGAGCTATTTGAATATTTACAATCATTAATTTTATTTTAATTTATGAAAATAGTAATTGCAGGGAAAAGGTAGAATTAAGGTACTAAATTAAAACACTGTATACACTTATTATATTAAAACAAATTTTTTTAATAATAGAAGAAAATAACTCATTATATATAGTAAATATATTCAAAGTTAAAATAGAGGTTAATATTATTTATAAAGTGAAATAAAAAATATTTTATAAATAAAAGCATTTTTATTTAAACCCTAAGTGTTATTTTTTCTGGCGAGTGCATCCTCAAACCTCGTGACCCCCTTCCCTTCGTAGCAGGTGTTGTGGAGGTGTTATTTAAACCACTATATATATTGTCCTTGACATTTAAACTGTTAAAGGATTAAAAAGTTACTTTTTGCCTTAATATTTTATTTCGATAAAACACTATTCACAACTTCATGAAATGTGTAATTTATATTTAACAAAATTTTGAAAAGTAGGACCTCAGTCTACAAAGTTAAAAATTAAATGTCTCCTACATGAACTGAACTAAACTTTTAGTTTTTAGCATATTTTAGTGACTCCTGTAATATTTTATAATTAGTTACAACTTAAATTTAATAACTATAAAACTTTCAAAATATTCTTCTGTTGTGTACATTTTTTGTTTAAAAGCGTGATTGCTTTATAGGTGATGACTGTAACCTGGTCTGCACTAAATATCCACCTAAAACAGTCCTAACATTCTATCCTTATTGCCAGGTAAGACTACAAGCATTTCAAATTACAAAATGCTTAACGTAAAACCATTATTGAAATAAATATAGTATGTTTCTATTTTAGAAAACATATGCTTCTGTTGCTGTTGAAGCATCCTGTATTCTTCTTCAGTACCAAGAACATGTTGAGTTGTGGAAAATTGGTAAAGTGAATCAGTTTTTTTTTGTTTGTAAACTTGCACCAAATTAATATATCTAGTTACAAGAATACCGATTTTCATTAATTTAGTTTTAGCTTCATTAAAAGACTTGATTTTTGCTTACTACTATTCATGGATTCATTTGTTTCAAAAGTGTAAAATTTAGAGTGTTGAAATAAATAAATGTTGCTGCTGCAAAGCACCAAACCCCTCAGGGCTCTTTTTTTTTCTGGTAGCATAGCATCTGTATTCCTTGAGCCTAAGTCATTACTTATTTTTTATGAGAGAGTTTAATTTATAATACCATTTGATTTGGTTAATGTCCTTTGTTTCTATTATGGTACTGTTTCAGTTTTGATGCTATGAAACCCTAAATTCAATAAATCATAACATAGGGAACCTTGTTCATGCCATTGTTGTGAAAGGTTCTTACTCTTAATTACAGGTAGAAGTCTATTCATGCTAATCTAGCTGAATTCCAATCCTTTTGTAACATTAGCTGTAAACATGCCTTTTCAAACCTAAGAAATTTATGTTCTATTAGAGATTTTTTTTTCTGAGTTTAATGTTAAACTCTCACAATTTGTAGAGTTGTCAGCCATCTGCTTTTCCATTTTATTTCTCACACCACTTAAATTTTGTGTCATCTTGATGTTGAAGCTCTTATGCTACCCTCAGTTAAATATGCTTTATATGTCTTCATTACGCTTCTATTTTCTTCCAATGCTTTAAAGCCATTTTGTCACATACGCACAATCTGCCCTCTTTTAAACTTACCAATTGAACTTGCATTGATTACATCATAAAACATAAATAACCAGTTTTCTGAAAGTTCAAATGTTGACTTTGACTTATAAAATTGCTTACTTATACATTAACTTTTTCAAAGGTATTTTTCAATGTTTTCTTATGATTAAAATTTAAGGAAAATAATGAATAAAACAATGTCAGGGTGCGTAGCGTTTGTAAAAAGTACTTAAAGGTGCTTTTTTGGGGATTTCGTTTTTAAAAGCTTTTAAAGGTGCTTCTTTCATCTGGCGTTTTTAAAAAGTGCTTTTTTCCGAAATTTTTTTTTCTCCCTTCAGTGATATCTGGTGGATCCCATGCATTTCACGAAAAATGGGGAGTTTGCTATGTAATCATTCATGCGGACTTCATGTCGTACCCATGTTATGACTTGTGAAGGTGCGCACACTTTAAACCGAAACCCGAGTGCTCCAAATCGGATAGAGAATATCAGATCCTTATGAAATGTTTTTCTTTTTAATTTATTTTAATTTTGTTCTTGTTTATTTTATTTTACTTCTAACACTTTTTTTGACGTAGGGGGTAAGGGTACTTTTGTTCTGAGTTCAGGGTCAAGTTGAATTCACTCGGTGATGTGGGAAAGTACTGATTGTTTCGATTTAAGCCCGTTTCTTTTTGGGTTTTTTTTAACGCTAAAACTGTTTATAAAAAGTTTTTGTTTTTCAATAATGTCATTGATTGAATATGAATTTTTTGAGTGCTTGAAAATTTTTGTAAAGTTTTTAAAAAGTGCTTATTTTTGATTCAAAGATTTGGCTACGCACCCTGAATGTGATAGTTGACAAGTCATTTAAATGAGTTGCTGTGTTTTTCATATTTTGTTTAACCTACATTTTCTAACTAATCTTTATAACTTTTATTTTATATGATACTCCTTTATAATGAAGAATTTTGCTACTTAATGACATCTTTTTCTAAATTCTGAAATCACAGCATATACTTGTAAAAGATTAGTCATTAATAAGCAATGTCTTGTTGCAATTGTTTTTGTTTTGGATGAAACAGTAAGCTTGATTGGATAGTTCATATTTTATCTTAATCTTGATTATCATTGAATTCCCTTTTAGTTATTTTCTTACTTGTGATTTAATATTATTATTATATATTGTTTTAGGTGATGAAAAGGATCCATTTAATTTACTTAGAATCGCACCTACAGAAGATGAATCTATTTTATGCAGTAGTGTGTCATCAAATGCAAAGTTCATAGCTTATTCAACTGCTCTTAAACTACGATTATTCTGTCTTGAATTGGTAAAAATCTTATTCATTATGCTTTTTTACAATGAATGTCAATAATCAAAATGACTCAATATGTGTTTAATTTTTAGAATCCAGGTAGTGATGAGAAAATTCTATCAGAAGAAAGTTTGTCTAAAGTTGAACTACCTGCTGATCTACCCTCTGTGAGAAGTCTTTTATTTAATAAAGATTCAACTAAATTGTTTTGTTTAGTAGATAACGCAGTAACTGTATTAGATTGTTGTCTTGGATCTGCTAAAATTGCAGCCACATTAACGTTGACAGGTATGAAAACTTCCCTATGTGATATATTAGTAAAATTTATTGCAAATATAGACATTTTATTTTTGATGGAATTTTAGAAAGTGTTCTTTTGGATCATGAGCCCCCATTAAACATAAAAATATTAAAACATAAATTTGGGAAAGGTTTAGCAGTTGGGATATGTAAGTCATCATCATGTTAATTACGAAATTTCCTTTTATTTTCATAATTTATTCAATATCAAATTTTTCTCTAATGTACTGTAAATTTCTTTATATGGTAGTAGCTTACTGCAACTATATATTGAGGAATTTGTTTATTGCTATGAAAGATTTATATGTTAATGTGGAAAATTTAACATGTTGACTTTGTTTTAGTAAAAAAGTGTATTTGATTCTATTCTATAGTTTTCTTTCTGAAGAAATAAATGCATCGCTGATTAAAATAGGAGTAAGCCTTTTGTGTGGATTTTAAAATTTGTAATGTTGTTTTTGTATTGCAAGTTCAAACATGAAAAAAAAATGATTTTTTAAAAGTGCATTTATAATTAAATTTATTCATTTCTATTATTTTTTCATCAAATATTGTTGGGTTCCCTTTTTGAGAAATAATTTTTCAATAAAATTTTAAGGAATCTAGGAAGATTTTTGAAAGTATTAAATAATGTATCTTCATTTTTAAAGACAATCATGTGCAAAATTAGATTTATATTTCTATTAATATACTTTTTATTATATCATTGTATTGAGAACACATCAAAATGTCATTCATGTGTGTTGTTATTGCCTTAGTTTGTTTTAAATTTAATGTTTATATTTTCTTAATAGATTCTGTTGGTCAGATTCAATTAATGACTCTGAGTAGTGATGATGCTTATCTAGCTTGTGGTAGCCATGAAGGAAATGTTATTGTCTATAGTTTAACTAATTTGGCGGTAAGTTTTTCAATAATTACTGTTGAAACTGCACTCACATAATTTTTATTCAAGACTTATTTTAGGAAATTTTAAACTCTAAGCAAAAATTTATTCTGTATTGTTTTGATTACTTATATCCCTGTTTCCCACAGGCTGAAATTAAATTCTAGATTTATAGTATGGATTTTTAATAGCTCCAGTAAATTTATTTAATAGCTAGCAGAGGTTGCAAAATTGAGCCCAGCATTAAAAAGAAACTGGAATCCAGGCATTTGTTAGGGTTAGTTTAACACTAATCAAACTCGTTGCAGTGAATATTTGTATATAAAGTTATATAATTTTAAAAATGCAGCTATGCATAAGAAAATTTATAATTTTTGAACCAAAATCTTTCATGTATTGGTAATTTATAGGAACAAATATCCAAAATGTTTTTGCTTCTCAATTTAACATATGAATAAAAAGGTCTAAAACAGTTTTTCCTTTCTGTTTGCACATTCCTATTGTCTAGAAATATGGTATGGTTCCTTAAATAACTAAAATCTAGATTTCTTTAATTGTCTTCAATGTAAAATTTAAAATATGTATAGGTTAATATATTATTTAAAGGTTTAAAACTAAAAGTGGTGTTCTTTTATTATGAAATATTTCTTAATATTACTGTATTATATAACATTTTATAGAAAAACATAATGAAAACTGCACATGGCGTAACCATTTTGCAGTTAATAAGTTATAGTTACTTTTATAATAAGCTTTATATAAAACTGTTTCCAGTCAAAACATGCAATAAAAATAATAAGTGTTAAACTCTTATTAAAAGTTAACTTTTCATGACTTTTCACTAAACAATCTTAAATATAGTCAACTGATTTTATAGTAAATAAGAACTTAAAGTACTATATAAGGTTAAATATATATGAAGTTAAATAAGAATTTAATTCTAAGTTGCATATTAAGAAAAAAATTATTATCTGAAAAAAATTATTTAGTTTAAATTTTATTTCAATAGACTCTGAGACTAAACCTCTGTTAATGTCATAAAATATTTAGGGATCTTTTAACCCATTAACGATCGGTTAATTTTCAAGAAAACGGTCATGAAAGTGCCTATTTTCCCAAATACACGTATTTGATTAGTGCTGACATCTAGTTTAAAATAAATTAACTATCTACAATTACCTTAAATATATCCTGGTACTGCTATCTGGTTTGTAAAATGAGAAATAATATGTTTTCCGGGCAAAAGAAATTAATTGGTTTTATTTTTATTGGCGTGTTATTACTAAACGCTCCAGCCTGGAAATTTTACAGGAGTAAGAAATAGAGGGCGAAACGTCACCCCGTCATTTTCACGAGAGAGAGAAGGAAGGGGTTAATAGAGGGATTTTAATATTGTATGTAACTAACTATTTGTCTTTTAAAAAATAAAAATAATGTAGTGATCTAAAACCTTCCAAAAAATGGTTAATTGCCTCAAAACAAGTTATAAATGTTACCAAATATTTAATTTTTTTACTAGCAAATCCTGTTATCGCATTATGGAATTGGGAGAAAAATTTTAAATGTTACCGGAAAAAAATAAAACATTATTAAGTGCTTATTTTTCTTCAAAAACTCAATGAAACTCAAAGATTTCTTTTTAAAGAAAAAAAAACATGTGAGCTGGGATTTTTTTTTTATAATATAAAAAAATAAAAATAATATTTTTTATTTTATTTTTTTAATTAAATATGTTAAAATTTAGTTATACTTTTTTTTCTTTTAATGCTAATGTTTAATTTGAAGAGAGTGCTGCATTAGAAACAGTATTGTTACGAAATATATAACGTTTTATTAAATAATAGTTATGGGCTTAAAAAATATAATTTTATCAATAATTTTTGCATTTATTTACAAGATTACAAGTAAAATTATTTCATATACTTATGTATAAATTTAATGCTTTCAGGTACATTGTCATTTACCTCATTACAAATGCCAACCTTCAGCTTTAATATTTGAACCTTTATCAGAGAATTTAATTGTTGCCTATACTGACCGAAAGGTAAATATATTATGTATTTCTTAATGTAACATTAACTCTGTTAAAAATATAGCTAATTAAATTTGCACACTCTTTATAATTATTATGGATATATGGATTCCAACATTAACTATGATGCAATGCAACCTTAATTTACATTTTAATAATCGCTAATAATCTTGAAATAAAGTAGCTTCTACATATTATAGATGTAAAAAGTTTTAAGTTCATAGTAGCAATTATTGATTTCATGACATATGCAAAGGTGTAACAGAATTAATTTCAAATCAGATCATTGGGTTGCAAAACTACTATTTTCATTCATTTTTTAATTTGGGTTACGCTCTAATATATTGGGCTGCATTTTAATAATATTTTACATCTATAAAATGTAGTGCTTCTGAAGTGCAAAGTAGTAAATAATATTATTTTAAAATAAAATCATTGGATTACAAGATTGATCTCGTCATTCATTTTTGTATTTGGGCATTGGTTACTGAATTGCTTCTGAGGTGCAAAGTAGTAAATAATATTAATTTCATATAAAATCATTTTATTGCAAAACCGATCTGGTCATTGATTTTGTGAAGAAAAAAAATTGGAAACCCTAAAGCAAAAAATTGGCTTAAACTAATCCTAATGAATCTATGAAATGATCACTCTTTGTATCATTAGATAATGTTTTATGTGAATAAATTTAGTATGTTTGCTATATACATGGTCTAATAGTAAGATTATGACCCGAATCCCCCTCCCATGTTAAATTTCAAATGTCAAGGATCTATTTAAATTTTAATGTATTCATCATTAAAACATATGCTTAACTATATATTTCTTACTTTGCAGTTTTAAATTACTGAGAACTTGTTTGATAAATATAATTTTTTTTCTTTATTCTAGGTAGTAGAATATAATTTTCTAAAACTAGCTTACACACCATGGAGCAAGTCAAGTATGCTCCAAGATTTAAAAGAAGCTACTCTTTATCCTATTACCTCAATGTGCATCTCTTCAGATAAACTGTTTCTATTAGATGGAAGTGCAATCTATGTGATTGATAAGACTCAACAGGTATTTTTATAATAAATTTATTCAATTTGAATGAAGATAAATATTTTTTAAATATATAGATAAATGTTTTTTAGGTACATGTATGCCTTTATTTTACATGTTATCTCTTTTTAAATAACTTAATTTTGTTTTATCTCATTTTTCCTGTTTTTATTTAACTACTCTCAAAATGAAAAATCACAAGATTTAAACATGCATTATTTTTTAATCTATATTTTATATGTTTATTGTTAGTCATTCCTTGCAATTATTATTGTTATTGAAGTATTTCTTTTCATTATTATTGTTATTTACACATTTTTTTTTTTAGGATCTGTTTACTTATATGGTTAAATGTGCATTAGTTTTTTCAAAAAATTTTAATTACTTGAGCACTATTTAAATTAAATTTGTTTGTATTTCTGCAACATTCATCTTTATTTTACATATGCAGTACTCTTCCATTTTGAAATATCAAAATTACTTTCAATCACTCATACCTATTATAAGCAGATTTTAAGAAAACATGCTATGTTATTTCAAGCATTCATATCTATTTTTAAATTGATATCCCCCCNCCCCCCCCCCGCTAAAAAAAACTGGAGCATATACTGTATATCCCGGTGTCTAACTCGGCCTATTTTTTTATTATGAGATAGCAAATTTCGGGTATATCTGTTGTATAAGCCCACTTCTTAAAGAGAAACGAAAAGGAAAATTTCTAAAAATTAAAAAGAAGGGGGGGGGGGGAATTATGTGCGCAAAATTTTTTCAAGTTAAAAATATTTACTTTGTTCTTTCTGGATATGATACATTTGTCCTCAAAAAAAGGTGCTATGAGGTCCAACATGAAATGAAGATGCATTAACAAATGCTATGAAGCAACCAGCTAATCAGGTTTATCTTACCCTTTGTGAGGTCACTTGAAGGTTGGCAAAATTTGTATTCAAACGATATTTCAAAATCTTTTGAGTATAAAATTTTGATTTTGGAGAAAGATGATTTTTTGTCAGACTCAGATGAGGAAATAGATAAGTAGCAGAAAGAATTCATTGCAAAGTGAGATCAGTATACTAACGATATTGAATCCGACCCTGACGACGTTATGGAATCCTTCAATTTGTAACTTCATGTTTTTTAAAAGTTTTTAGTGTAGTATGTATTTCAAAATATTCATGAATGAATTATCTAAGCTTTTTGTATCCTTAATTTTTTCTGACTATAATTTAAAGTATTGTTTCTTTAAAAAAAGCTTTATATAAAAAGAAATATGAAAGAAAATGCCAAGTAAATCGAATATAATTCCAAAATTGAAAGGGTATAATTGATACAAAGTAATTTATATCTATCTCATTATGTCTAATGCATCAATATTTCTTGATCAACATGAGGAATGCCCAACTTTATTATTTATAAGTCAATCCCCTGATTTTCATAAAATTTTGTGAGTTTAAAACTACCCATGAAGTTTTTTTAATCATAAATGATGTTGGACTTGACATTAAAAATAGTATTAAAACGAAATGAAAATATTACAAGTTCAGCTGGAAAGTATACTTATATGCTACTGTAAAAGCCTGAACTCTGGTCAATCCTAGATTTTACCTTTAAACCTGGGATTTACCAAAGTGTTTGGGTAAAAGTCTGAAGAGTATTCTTTAATATGATTATTATACCTACATTAAATTCTTAACCTACTACGTTAAATTAGCATACCTACTCAACTGAAATACATAAGAATAAAACGTATACCGAATTTGAGATACACATTATATTACTTCAAAGTTTTTACAAATTAAAACAAAAACTTCCTGGCTTACTTTTGGCATATCTTTTCCAACTACTATTGAATAGAGAAATTATTTAAATTTAGGATCTTAGTGGGGGGGGGAACAAGTAGTATTTTGATAATAATTTTTCAAATTTAAGAGCATGATGTTGTTGGAGTAAAAAAAAAAAAATTTCCAATATTTCTAGAACTAAGAAGGTTTCCTTGGGGGTGAAAGAGACACTTTACAATACTAAGCCCTTCAATTGTATATTTGCAGGTATATAATAACTTTTGATTTGTTTACAGGTGACACCTGCTAAAAAGCGAATTAAGCAATCTGAAAAGTCAGAGACAGCATTAACTGATGGTAGTTTTAAAACTATAACAAAATACGAGGTGAGTTTAATTTTTATTCCCTGTTAGATTTTTATTTTTGCAAGATATTGTACATTTTGTTGTGACCTATAGATCTAATTTATTTTTATTCTTTTCTAGCACATATCAAGTATACATACATTTAAAGATGAGATAATCTTCGTACAAATGCCATCCGGCCATATTCTGAATTCGCTGCCACCTCCCATTTGGAAGAAGGTGTATGGAACATAGTGTAAATAAAATAATAGTTTTAATAAATTTGTTTTATTCTTTTTTAATTAGTGAGTGGTTTATGGATTTAAAAAATTAGTTATTAATTATAATTCATCAGATAATAATCCTTAATATGGCGTTGTTATTGCTCGGTATTTCCAAAATGTTTTATTTTGCACGTCAGACTATTTAAACTGCTACAAATAGCTGTTATTTTAAAAATGTTTTTTTTTTCTCCTTGTCAGTTCCATCTGTTGAAGAATTTTGTAATTAATTTTTTTAGTTTAGGGAGAAAATTTCTGGTTTCCTAAGCAAAATGCATTTCTACTGCCCTTCTTTTTTCTTTAATTAATTTAGCAACACCTGTTAAAATGTATAGGGTTCTTGCTTGATGTGCTTGCTTGAGGATTATGGAGATTAATGCTTTACAACCAATGGTGTATCAAGCTATATATATAACACTTCTGTTTCTTATTAAAAAAAACGCAAGCAACCCAAACAGTAACAAATATGAAGTCCCCATAACCGGATAGTTTAAATATTATAAAGCAAACTAGAAAATATGAAAACTCAAATTCCAAAACAAAACTAATATCTAAAAAAGCCAACAACTTTCCGTTGTTCTACAAAAAGTCTTCTAATTTTATCATTTTTATTTTTATTCATGCTTTTGCTAGCCAATTATTTTTTTAATATTCTTAGACTTTATAATGGCAACATAGTCGCCAATGCGAACAAGCAGTCTTTACTTTCATCAATCTCAATTAAAAAAATATAATTAATCTAATTCTGACTTTATTTATATATATACGCACATATTTGTTTAGTTTAGCACATAGAGAGGGAAATTTAATTTTAAAAAAAAAATTGTGAATCGGAAAATTTAGGTATTTACTTTCGATATTTGGAAACAATTTTTTAACCTGTCCTTTAAAGTTTATTTGTCTTTGCCTCCGCAGAACATAATGAAATATCTAATAAAATTACTTTATATTATATTCAACTTGTTAGCAATTAATTTTTTATTAATATCATAGTCTTTAATTATTATTATTTTAAATGAGGCATTGTTCCCACTCTATTATAAGTCAATAAACTTTTTATTTGCTTATAAATTGACTTATAAATCTAATACGCGAATTCCCCAACAAATTTATTTACCAATTTAATTTTTAAGATTTGCGAATTCACTCATTGATTACTTCATTCTTTTCTTCTTTCTATACACTAATTTATTCCCTCGCTATTTCTAAATAAGGAACAGATAAAAGATAATATAAAGATTTTTAAAGATAATATAAAATCATTCTACAGAAATAAAGTTTTGTCAGAATGATGAATTGTGTCCATGGCACGATTTTGTAGACTAAAATAACAAAAACTCCTAGTAAGATCTGATTGTTTTCCTTAACTTTCTCTCTCTATGTGGTTTTCCTAATTTTAAATATGACATAATGGCTCAGTCTCTCTTGGCGCGTCTGTCTAACGACGATTCCACCCGGAATCCGGTTCCGGGCGGTCTGCCGATCATTTTATCATTACTTACTTATCCTCTACGTGCCTTGGGCACTTAGGCCTCTAGTATATCCCTCCAACACCTCCTGTCTCTAGCAATAGATCTTGCTTCCTCCTAACCAGATATTCTACATTCTTTTAATTCGCCCCAAAACATGCCCTGGATGGTAAGTCTGGGTCTTCCTCTTGTTCTTTTACCATCAGGGGCCCATGTAAGCGCAACAGATGTAATTTTTTCTTTGGGCATTCTAAGGATATGNTGTTCAATAAGTGTCACGTAAAGATTTGAAAAATACGGAATAATAACAAATGACAAAAAATGAATATAGTAGTAATAAAACATATTTCAAATATGTAAATACATTATAATTTTAACTTTTAAGTTCCTAATTCTTGAAAAAAATCTGTCTATCAATCCATATATATTTATATATATATCTATATATATATATACACACACACAATCCAGTCACATTAATGTGACCACCACCTACTTTGGACGTCAACGTGAAATACCAATCGCAGAGTGCAGGTGGCAGCACATTACAGCGTATTGTATATATTGGATGTCCTGAGGCATCGGAAAGCATTTCAGTCGTTGGCGCAATGCAGAAACGTTTATTCGACGTCCAAAAGGGCATGATTATTGGCTTTCGGGCCAATGGTAGAAGCATTTTGGAAACGGCTAAATTTGTGAACTGTTCGCGTGCTGCCATGGTAAAAGTATACCGTGCATGGCAAAATGGCACTATCCAAAATAAGCGGTGTGGCACATGTGGTGCACCACGGGCTATAGATGACAGAGGCGAACGAAGGCTACGGAGATGCGTTCAGGCGAATGGACGTGCAACTGACCGCCCAGATGAACCTAGGGGCTACCAAGAGTGTATCCTCAACAACTGTTCAGCGAACGTTGCTGCGCGTGGGTCTCCGCAGCAGACGCCTGGTTAATGCACCTATACTGACTGCTGTTCATCGGCGACGAAGGCGGGAATTTGCACGCCAGTACCGCAACGGGACGTCCACAGAGTGGCGACAGGTGGCTTTTTCTGATGAATCACGTTTTATGCTCCATCAGACAGATGGACATTGGCGTATACGGCGTTAAACGTCTGAAGGCAAACACCCTGCAACAATTGCCGGAAGGATCCAGGCTGGGGGAGGGACCATTATGGTTTGGGGAATGTTTTCCTGGCATTCACTGGGTGCACAGTCGGCATGGCTCAACATCCCAGTCAACACCTTAGCAACCTAATTGACTCTCTTCCTGCACATCTCGCAGTGGTCCGCTCTGCCAAAGGTGGTTATTCTGGCTTTTAACTGGTGGTCACATTAATGTGACTGAACTGTGTATAACTATCTATTAAGGCAGCACAATAACAACAATCATTTTTTTTCATTAATTAATTCCCTTTATTTTAAGAAAATATGTAAAAAATAATAATAAACGTCCTATAGAAAAATTCGAGCTTGTTTATTTAAGAAACATATGCATTTTTATAAAAAGTCAAAAAGCCCTCTCTCCTCAAAAGATTTATATTTCTCCTTTTTTTAAAAAGAGCATTTTAAAACTAATTAAATTTAATTAATTTTGGAACGATTTATTCTGATAATGGCTTTGTCAAAAAAATATCGATGGTTAACCTTTATTTTATATATATTATTTTTATATATACGCACACATTTGTTTAGTTGGTACGTAGAAAGGGAAATTTAATTTGAAAAAAAAAAAATGTTTGAATTGGAAAATTTAGGTATTTACTTTCGGGGGGGGATGGTATTTGGAAACAATTTTTTAACCTGTCTTCTAAAGTTTATTTTTGTTGTGTCCGCAGAACGTAACGAAATATTTCGTAAAATTAATTTACATTATATTCAACTACATTACATTATTTTTAATTAATATCATTGACTTTACAATTAAGAGTATTTATTTATTTTTTTAAGTGGGGCATTGTTCACACACTATTGTAAGTCAATAAACTTTATATTTGCTTATAAATTGGCTCATGAATTTAATGCACGGATTCCCCCACAAATTTATCTACCAATTTAATTTCTAAGATTTGCTGATTCACTCATTGATTACTTCCTTCTTTTCTTCTTTCTTTCCATTAATTTATTCCCTCGCTATATCTAAATAAGGAACCGAAAATTATTAAAGATATTATAAAATTATTAAAGATAACATTCTACAGAAATAAAGTTCTGCAAGAAACTGTCAGAATGATGAATTGTATCCATGGCACGATTTTGTAGACTAAAATAACAAAAACTCCTAGTAAGATCTGATTGTTTTCCTTAACTTTCTCTCTCTGTGTGGTTTTCCTAATTTTAAATACGACGTAAAGACTTGCAATGGCTCAGTCTCTCTTGACGCTTTCGTCTGACGACAATTCTACCCCAAATCCGGTTCCGGGCAGTCTCCCGATCGTTTTATCATTAGCTATTTATTTATTTTTTTTTTCGTGATTCCAGAAATTCCAATGTTATTAAAAAGAGCCGCGATAGCTCAGGGGATAGAGCGTTCGCCTTCCAATGAGGCGAACCGGGTTCGAATCCCAGTCGATACAAATTCCGCATCCGACTTGCACCGATCACAGTGCTGACGTGAAATATCCTCAGCAGTAGACGGATCATGGGTTACAGTCCTCTTGCCGTCAGGCTAACCTTGGAGGTTCTCCCGGTCTTCCTCTCCATGTAACGCGAATGCGGGTTAGCTCCATCAAAAAGTCCTCGAAATCAAATTTCTCCCAATACTGTATCCAGCAGTTCCCTTGTCTTCTGGATTAGGTTCAAAATTACAAGGCTACGGAGTTGAACATTAGTAGTAAACCCATAATAATAGGATCGGCTGTTCAACGACGGTTATAAAACGTTATTAGGAAACACATATTTGAAATTAGAATATTAATCACTTTTTAACTCTACACTTCCGTCATAAATCCATGTCGTTTCGGCAGTTTTTATGGCTATCTCTTAAGATATCGTCTCATCTTAAAATTCCAATATTTTTTATTACTATAATGTTATTGCAACAACTGAAGTTCGAATTTGAATTATCACTTTTTAACACGCTTAATTTGTGACGATACTTTCGTTTACACGCAGTTAATTATAGCTTTATACGTTGTTGGTGCGACATCCAAGTTCCTTTAAAAATGTTAGTTTTGAACCAGGTTTTGCTACTGTTTTTTACCCATTCTGAGTTTTGCTACTGACTTTAAAAATAAAATCCTTCCCTGATTATGTCCATCCAAGGATATTGTTATTGACGCTAATGAGGCTCAATTAATTTTGATAATAGGTACTACCAATATGTTAATTAATGTTTTTAGTTGGTAGTGTGGAAATAGATTTTTTTATGGCCCTCCGATTGGGATAAGTACCGGATAAAATTGTTGATTATGGTAATTTTATACTTTCAGGAATTGACCTTCAGCAATAGCATTGTGCGAAATGATACTGAATGTAGTTAATCTTTATTTTGATGGGATGACCTTTGATGCATGTTTTGCTTAACTGTTAACATGTTTTGTTAACTATCATTTCGAAAATGTTCGCATGAAACTATTTGATAATCGGTCCGATTGCTTCAAACTGTTACTGGCTTATTTTTCATTGACCTATATTGGAACTAAAGCTAACCTAAACTCAGTGGCGCGACAGCCCATAGAGGGCCAAGGCCTACAGTGCCCATCTCAGTTTTCTTGAGCTCTGGGGTGCAGGAGCAGATGTTCCGGTTAGGTGGTAAGCCGAACGCGAAACCCCCAGTGTTTAGTGCCCAAACATGCTTGGTACTCATTTATCGACCCACTGAAGGGCTGATTCTACCTTGCCCGGCCCGAAGATCGAACCCAGGACCTGCGGCACGGTAGCGCTACCTCTCAGTCACCGAGTTCCTATATTGGAACTCAAAGTATATTTTGAATGCGCTTAATCTGTAGTAAGTCAGAGAAACATTTTTCTTCAGCTTATGAATCGGTAGGAAAACACAGCACAAGGCGACTGTAAAAACTAATGTGGATTTGTGTGCAGACTCCTATTTTAAAATTTTTCCTACTGAGTTAAATTACTAAGATTATTTTAAATCATTTTATTTATAATGCTTGCATAATTCCCCAAACTTTGAGGCACGGTGCACCGTCACTTCAACGTAGCAGACTGCCGTAACGAAAGGGTTAATTTCAGGGCAACAAATAATAATAAAAATTTTAAAAAGTTGGAATTGTTTAGAGCTTTATTATGTCGGTACATGTCTGTTTTGTACATGATTTCGTAGTGTGGTTCAGTACAGATATTTTTTTTTATTTCACTCCGTACCGAGAACGGGTATACGTCTAGAATATATATACATTAACTAAATAAACCAAAACGAAGGGAGGAATGCACGGAATTTCTGCCTCTTCTAGATTATTTCCCCATAGTGAAAGAATTAAAAGTTTATTCCATAATTATTTGGTTCTATTTTAATGAATAAGTAATGGATCACTATGTGGGTGTTGTACGTTTTATTTTAGCTTTATACTTTCATTTCTAATTATATTTTCTATGTGAGATTATTTAATACGTTATTTTTAAAACCTATTTAATTCATGCTATGCCAAATAACACAACAGTAATTTGTTGGACGAAAAATTCTTTGAATAACAATAAGTAAATTCTATTTTTTCACCTTGTACGAAAAACGAGTATTCAACTAGTTCCTAATATTAATTGAAAACAAATGCATGTTTGAGAATTCCAGCACTGTAAGTTTGATAAATGCTGTAGAGAATTCTAGAAGAGAACAACATGCCTGCCGTCCGAACGTTTATATATAGATCTATATAATTACGAAACTTTATAATCTGTTAATCATCTTTTATCGTCAAAACTACTTAGTACATAAGAAATCAGAGTAATCTGTAAGGAAGAAAAATAATCAGGTATCAATCAACGTATGTAATCTTCTCGATAAGTTGCTTAAGAAAGATTATTGGAGGCCAGATAAGATTATCAGGATTACTCAATGGACAACAGCATTGCTAATGCGAAATTCTCAGATGAGGACAGTGATTGCATGTTCATTCTCATTACGTGAGTCAACATTTTGCTTTCAAAAGAGGTTTTTTTTTTTAATCAGTTTTGTTTGCGATATTTTAATAAAAATCATAAATTATTTGCCGACTAATTTCGACTTGGTCATATAAATAAATCAAATCTGTTTTAATTAAAATGCACGAGGAGAAAAAAAATTTTTAAGGAAAGCAAAATACTTTTTGAATGAGAGACATTTTAGATGGTTCTTAAAAACTGAACTCGTTACACATTTACTGTTACAAGCATTCTATTTAGGTTTGAAAATGGAGATTTTGCATCTAGATTTATGCATTTGTAATATATTGCTACGATTACGTAGTAGTACTTTATTTTACGTCGCTCTAGAGCTGTACAAGGTGAACATCCCTAAAAATGATCAGAAGACATGCCATCACAATTTTTATTCTCTACGGAGGGGGCTTCCTCGCTTCGGTAGCCCGTCGTCCTGCGCGCGAAGTCTAGCAATTTACAACAGAACAGTTTAACAAAGATAATGCGCACCCTCTGTCTCTTCGCAGGCTGATCAAATGATCGCCCACTTGCTCACTGACCACAGCCAGTGATGTTTGACTTCAGTGATCTACTGGGAACAGTGTGTTACAATTAGTCTATTGTGACGATTATGAACACGCTAAAACAGTTTCAATCCTTTAAAATATTGTAGTCAATGGCGTAGCGAGCTTAACTTGCGCCCGGGGCACAATACCTTTTTAGCCCCCCCCCCCATTCGAAAACTATATAGTATTATATGTAAAATATACTCCCGAATTATTAAATAAATAATGTAAAATAAATAAAGTCATAGGCTCAAGCTAGACTTTAAATTTGAGACAAAAANGTACACAGCGTTACGAAAAATTTAAGAAGGGTACACAAAAGTCATAAGTTTGGGAAGCACTGCCCAAGTAAATGCAATGGGAACTGAAATTTGAACTACTGGTATATTATTGTTTGCTGTTGTCCTCTCACACATAGTTTTTCTTATTCTGCTTACTGAACTTTGCTGCACATTTCGAAATTTTAAAATCAAATTACCGTATTATTTCTGCATTACGGTTCAGTGACTTGAAACTTTGCAAAGATAAATATGCAGTAAAATTCTAAACTTGCAGCTTTCACGAGTCCTGAAAAACAGGGCTAATCAATTCAAATTTTAAAAATCAATGTACTCCAAGTTCTTTAAGCCTTAAACTTTCTCCAAGAACTATTATAAGGAAAGAGTTATTCAATCGCATTAGCAATTACGTAAGTTTTGTGTTAAATTAGTCTAACCACGTACACTTTTAATAATAAAGCAAATATTCAGGTATTAAACTGCAACGGAAAGTATTTACCTGAAGGTTTTTCCAAAAATTAAGATTTAAAATCGAAAGCTATACATCAGAAAATTAATTCATCTAATAAAATTACGAATCTGTAGCGGTAAAAATTCAATATGGAACATTTACAGAAAATTGTGTGAAGTCCATCTTAATGCTAGTTCTTTTTCCTTTATAATACTAAGACAAAATTCTAAAGATTTAAATTTTTCCCAAAATATTTTCAATAGAAGTTTATTGAAATTTTAATTTCAAAGCTTATTAGTGTTAAAAAAAATTTTAAGATAGCTAATTTATCCACACATTACAAAATGTTTTTGCAAAGTAAATAAAATATATACATCTGCAGCAAAATAAGATTCGAAACTTAGATATTATTGTGCAACATATTCAAACTTTACCTCGTAAGTCAAGCAAATGGCGCGAAGGAGACTGAATTCACGATAAATCAAACACTTGCATATTGCACAAATATAGTACGGTAGATCACTTTCTCTTCCAAAATACTACCAATTTCATAGCAAACTATAAAGTTTATCACACAAAAAACTTTTACTGGCACAGCTTGAAATTTAAAAATTATGTGCATAACTTTAAAAAAATTTTGAACTGTCACAGGGGAAGCGCTTCATATACACAAACTAGTTTTTAAACTAAAATTACTAAAACTTCAAAATCTTTATTTTAGATAAATCAAATCTTAATGTTAAAATAATTGAAACAGTTTTGTCGTAACTAAGAAATTAAAATAAATATTATGTAGCATTGAAGTTCACTCAGCTGATCATAAAAGATGGATTTTATATTCTCATCGCTATACTTGAAAATGCAAGCAAATTAGCTTGCAATTTAAAGTAGAAAAAGAAATGCAAGTATATTTAGTTTACTTCAAATTGCAGCACCTTGTAAAAACTTAACCACTCAATACATCGAGTAAAACATTTGTATTCATCTTATTCAGGTTAAAAGAGCTTTAAATAACTAGTTAAAAATAACTCTCTCAGTGGCGCGACAGCCCATAGAGGGCCAAGGCCTACTGTGCCCATCTCAGTTTAGTTAAAAATAGCCGAAATAAAATAACTTTAGAAAGGAGAATTATAGACCTAACACCTTTTGTAAGGAGAAAAATACAATCTAGTTTTATACAAATCTCATTTTTATTAGTAAAAATTGTATATCTATATATATATACGTAAATTCAACATCTAAGTATATGATATATTGAAAAAGGAAACAAAGTTGAAATGTTTAAAAATTTTCAAAGAACTTTTAATAAAGTATTATTGTCAGCAATACATTTACAGTCATAAAAATCAAATCATATTTACAATCAAAAAGTACTGTAGTATGCAAGCATTACAAACGACTAAACTAAGTTTTTTTTGTTGCTCATATTTACACAATCCATAAAAATAAAAATAGTTTACTGTTGCAGTGTATCAAGGAGGTAAACTTACGAACGCTCTCCTCGAATTCGTCGTGCCAATTGGATGTCTTTTGGCATGATGGTGACTCTTTTGGCATGTATAGCGCACAAATTTGTGTCTTCAAACAACGAAACCAAATAGGCTTCACATGCTTCTTGCAATGCCATAACGGCGGAACTCTGAAATCTTAGGTCCGTCTTACAATCTTGAGCAATCTCTCGAACCAGTCTCTGAAATGGCAACTTTCGAATTAGTAGCTCGGTGGATTTCTGATATCTGCGAATTTCACGCAAAGCAACAGTTCCTGGCCTGTAGCGATGAGGTTTCTTGACTCCACCAGTGGCGGGTGCACTTTTGCGAGCGGCTTTCGTTGCGAGCTGTTTTCTGGGTGCTTTACCACCAGTACTTTTCCTGGCGGTCTGCTTTGTACGAGCCATTTCGATAAGAATTAAATTAATTGCTACAAGACTTCAATTTCGCTACTACGCCTGCGATAGTTATAACTATGTGATACGAATCAGGCCAGTTTATAAAGGTTCAAACTAAACGGAGTTTTATTGTCTCTTTCCTGCTTCAGTAGTAAGAGGTTGTATGCTACTCGTTTACATACAACCATCCTCTGATTAACAAAGATTTTTACTTTTTTTTTTATTTATTCGCATATATATGTAAGCTTGTGCGCTTAGTTTAAATATGGCTTATAAACCCTTCTACAAAGAGCCCAAATATTGTTACAAGGGAATTCGCTTCACTCTTTAGAGCGTTTGGCGGAAGGGTGATATAGCTGAGTCAGGTGAACTCATTTCTTTTTCATGTGCTGCTTAATAAAGTGTCCGATGGTTTTTGCAAGTGAGGTTCTTGCTGATTTAAGATCCCAGACTACGACAAGGTTGTTGTTGTTAATTTACGTCGCACTGGAGCTGCACAATGGGCTATTGGCGACGGTCTTGGAAGCATCCCGGAGGATGATCCGAAGACATTCCATCACAATATTGATCCTCTGCGGAGGGGAACTACGACAAGGACTAGTCGCGAGTTAGTTTCAAGAAATGACTGCTAAAACTCACTGTAGAGAATAAATAGAATGGCACAAATAAACAGAATGGCATCCAAACTCTTAATTTGGCAAGCCTATTTGAGAAAGGTCTATGTGAACATCAGACTAAGGTTGTGTTTTGTGACAGGCAGAAAGGTAACAGGTTTATGTACTATATCCAGCGTTTACAAACAAATAACAAACAAGCACTTTAAGATATAAAGTTGGTCCTACATCGCAGTCCAGGACCTTACTCTCTCGTTCGTCCCACTCTGTACACTTAATAAAAAGTTGAACTCTCTGAAAAAGGTTTCAATTAGGTTTGGTTGCATTAGAGCTACACCATGGGAAACATCCCCGAGGATGACCCGAAGACATGCCATCACAATTTTGATCCTCTGTAGAGGGGATGGCACCCCCACTTCGGTAGCCGGATGACCTGTAAGCGAAGTCGAGCACTTTACAGTAGAACAACTCAAAGGGGATAAAAGCGAGTAGCAGAGATCCCTCCCACATCAACAGTCAACAGTAGAACAGTTTAACGAGGGCCAATACCGCACACCCGCGGTTCCTACGCAGACTGATCCTAGGGGTCACCCACCCACACACTGACCGCAGCCAGTGATGCTTGACTTCGGTGATATGCTAGGAACCGTGTCTTAACAATCAGTCCACTGCGAGACCGGCATTTACAAGAATGATGTTGTTGTTGTTGTTGTTGTTGTTAATTTACGTCGCACTAGAGCTGCACAATGGGCTATTGGCGACGGTCTGGGAAACATCCCGGAGGATGATCCGAAGACATGCCATCACAATTTTGATCCTCTGCGGAGGGGATGGCACCCCCGCTTCGGTAGCCCGACGACCTGCGCGCGAAGTCGAGCACTTTACGGTAGCACAGTTTAACGAGGACCAATACCGCACACCCTCGGTTCCTACGCAGATTGATCCAAGTGGTCACCCACCCGCACACTGACCGTAGCCAGTGATGCTTGACTTCGGTGATCTGCTGGGAACCGTGTCTTAACGATCAGTCCACTGCGGGACTACAAGAATGAAGAATATAAATATGGATTGAAATATGACAAATTTTAGCACAATACATCAATCTGCGGGTTTGATTGCTCAATACTCTTATAAGCACATCTTGAGCTTGACACAACCTCACACATACACACAAAAACCCTCAAAATCTTCGAACGAAGAACCATGGGATTGGGGGGCTCGATCTACACCTCCTAGAAGAAAAAGAGGATCCGATCCTTTTGCAGTCCGAAGGTTGTGACTCCTCTAAGGTAGTGACTTCTTTCTTATTTGCCCTCCCCCCCAGTGCTCATTTTATACCGTTCCTTCTGACTATTAAAGTGATCCGTGCGAAGGCCTTCTTTCTTCTGGAAGGTGTTGGTTCGATATTTCAGCATTAGTCTGAATGCATCTTTCTTCCTCTTTCTGTATTTTATGCTATATAGTCGTCGATTCATCATCGATTTATTATTTATAACGATATTTTAACTGCAAATTATTTCTTTATCCTTTATTTAGGGGCCTCCCTGGCCGAGCGGTATCGCCGGTCCAAACGCTTTGTTAAGCGTGGAGGTAGCGGGTTCGAATCCCGCCGTAACCCTGGATGTATTCTTTGTGATGTCTTTCTCTCAATTGTTCTATCTGTATTTTCTACTTGACAATGACTTATAAGCCTATATTGAGCACACAAGTCAGCAAATATATGTAATTTCAATAAAACCAATAAAACCAATCCTTTATTTAAAGATGCATACACACTGATCTCTATAGGATACCGAAAGATCAGTTTTTTCCGGAAGTATCTATCCATAATTATTTATTGTTATTGCTAATTTTTCGATTTCGATTATTAGTTGGATTAAATAAATATTAAACACTTAAAACTAAAAAAGTTCGTTTATTATACTACAAAAGTAGTCATATGATACCTTTTATATAACATATCATACAGATATTTAGGGTCCATTTTCCGATAATAAAACAAAAACAAAGGTTATATTTACTTTTTAATAAATATGTCAACTTATCCATTCATTTATTTATTCTTATTTTGGGACGAAAAAAATTCACTATTATTGTAGCCGGACTTCTGTTGGACTTCTTCGACCAAATCGATGCTACTATCTCTGTAAATTTCTAAAACCTTGGTCTTCCGACTCGAAAAGTCAGAAAGCGGGAGTTTTAGAAAAATAGAATAAAACTAAAAAAAAGATAAATTCGTGTCAGACAATGCTTAAAAGATATTTCTCCCAAAATGCTTTACAATCACAAAATTGCTTGCTTACAACTCCCAGGATATTGCCTCAGTGACCAGGATATTGCTCGTGTGACTGTAATGTTCTCTTCCATTTCCAAAGTTCTCTTTTCATGAGAAATGGTTATTTAATGAATCGTTTACAAGCAACAAATCGCATAAAATCCGTTTTGACGCTGACTGTTATTGGGAGGATTGGCGAAGTAACTTCAATTTTACAATTGCACAACCAAAGAAAAAAATTACATAAATAAGGTATGAAAATTTTACAATCATACCTCTTCAATGGTAATTACATATTTCAAAAATCGATTCGAAGTAGAATTTAAAATTTACCAACTAATAGAGGCTCAACAGTCCTTTTAGAAATTGTTTTCGCACTAATTAACTATCACTAAATGGAAATACTTCTGCCCAAATATTGCCAGCATTCTGTTGCTGCCCGAACTTCTTTTAGAGAATAGCTAAAATAACCCCAGTTGACGACACTGTTTTTAACATGCTTTCGTGTTTATAGCAAAAGATATTAACTGCTTTCCGACTAGCTAGAGCTATTAATTCTCCATTGGAGCTCTTGCCAGACGTAAATGAAAGTTTTAATTTTTTCTTGGCCAATGCTAGCATAATTACCAATGTTATCAGTATCACCAAACGGAATTTATCGAATCAAAATTGCGACCATCTGAATCTCTCAAATTTTAGATAGAGTTCTGTGTTCCATATCAATGCCAGTTTTAATGACTTCCTGACTGTTTCAAACAGAATTAATCTTTATAGTATCAACTAAAGGAATTTATTAACAAATAAAATACGACTTATCTTCAAATGGAATATTCGATTTTTGATTAAGGCTTTGCGCTGAATGACAAAAATTTAAATTTCTTCCTGACAACTAGAAATAGAATTTGACTTCAAATATAATTTATTGTCAAACGAAATTTCGCTACAATTTGTCAAGCGCTAGTCAGAAAGTTATCACTTTCCGACTAGCTAGAGGGGTCAAATTCTAACAAAATTTCTGGATCTGTTTATAAGTTGTTTCTTAAATATTATGCAAAATTTATTACCAATCCGATTGAACCTCCCTGATTTTATAAAAATTTTGTATTTTCTAATATACCCACGACAGAGTTTAAGCAATTAGAAGACTTATTTTCTTGGCGAAGATTAATTCAAAACTGAATTGCAAAATTTAAATTTTTTAATCGAAATAAAACTACTACAAACTATTAGGATACTTGCATATTTCCGATATAAATTTAACTACTGCAGTTTATCACTAATACGTGCATTAAGCTTAAATATTTTGTCGCTTATTGAACAACAATTAGTACTTGAACGGATCTAGTTCCTTAACTGGAGATTTTACTAAATGGCATATTACTACTTAACGCTAAGAAAATATAAGCAAAATTCAATAAGCAAAAATATTTCAACTGTATTGGATTAAACTAATAAAGCTCGTTTTTGAAACAGTTTAAATGTTCTAGTTTTAATAAGGGCTTATTAAACAGTTCCTTAAACAAAACATTTTACATTCATTTTAATGAAAAGTGTCAATTTCAAGCACGCTGAACTTAAATATTAAATTATTCCGCTTAAAAATTAGATTAATACTAAAAATATGTCTACAAAATTAGTCTATACTAAGATTAGATTTAAAATTAGAAAAAGATGAAACAATTAGTAAATATTACAATTTTAGAAAATCCCCGAACCTAGAAAATACCAAGCAAAAACTACAAGCTTATTTATGAAAAGTTCTTAGTAATCGTACTAATTATGAAAGATTCATGGAGCAGCTAACAATTTTGAAATAACCAAATAAGTAATTGGGCTTTGAAAACTGCTTTCAAATAAATTTAAGGAATGTTTAAAAAAGAACAGGTTTTAAAAAAAGTAAACAGACTAAACCCTGTTAATCAAAAATAAATACGGAACTTTTCGGTTAACCGGGCACAAGAAAATTCAGCTATTTTCTTTTTTAAGCAAAAAAAATTTAAAAAGTTACGGGAGGTCTGCATTTTTTGGTAACATTCCGCTTGCACCAGACTAACCGATAGGTATACCAAAAATGCATGAAGATATTGTTTTATATTGTTAGCTTAAATGTCAGTTTAGTTTATAAGAAGATTAGACTAAATGCTTCGCTTTTTGCCATTAAATTAAGATTAGATAAAACTACATTTTTACCTCTGTACTGCTGATAACATTAAATATTTCGGTTCAGATTATTACAGATTTATGTAAATCAGTTGCGTATCTAAATTTGATGCTCGTAACGGGTACTGTATTAAACGGGTACTGTTACTTCATAATACAAACTTAATAAAATTTCCAAACACAATTACGAAAGAAAGTTTAAATACATTAAAAACAATCACCGTAATAAACAAGCTTTTAATAAGATGTTATTTTCTTAATGTGCACAATTCTAAAAGCAAAATGCGCTTTTGGAGTATAAAAAGTCAAAGCTAAAAGTTCATGCAGGCCATTTTTGTATAACACTAAAAAAATAGTTCATAACAGTGTATTATAATAACATAGGATGTTAAGTGTAGCATAGAATTTACAAACGCTCTCGGCGAATTCGCATTGCCAATTGGATATCCTTTGGCATGATGGTGACTCTTTTGGCATGTATGGCGCACAAATTAGTGTCTTCAAATACTGAAACCAAGTAAGCTTCGGCTGCTTCTTGTAAAGCCAGAATTGCGGTAGTTTGAAATCTCAAGTCTGCCTTATAATCTTGGGCGACCTCTCGAACCAACCTTTGAAATGGCAATTTTCGAATCAACAGTTCGGTGGTTTTTTGATATCTACGTATTTCACGTAGAGCCACTGTTCCTGGCCTGTAGCGATGGGGTTTTTTAACTCCTCCAGTGGCGGGTGCACTTTTACGAGNTTTGTCAGGATTTGTTTCTTCGGCGTTTTACCTCCAGTACTTTTTCGGGCTGTCTGCTTTGTACGAGCCATCTCACTAAAACTCAAATGTTCACAGGTATATAAAACTTTTAATGAATTAAAGTATGCAGACTGGCACCTAATGTAGGTCGTGGTTGGTAAAGGATCTTTGTCACTTGTTTATATCCTCTCTTATATAAAAAGGAATGAAACTAAGAGCAGGCACTTTTATAATCGTTGTAACTTGTAAATAAGGATCCCAATCTTTCAGCACGACATCTCAGGCAGCAAATGACTGTTGATGATGATGTGGGGGGGATCTGTGCTACTCGCTTTTATCCCCCTTGCTGTAAGGTGTATCTTTTGTGAGTTGAGTTGTTGGTGGTGAAGATGATGAAGATGATATGAAGAAAGTGTACGCTGTTCTTGAAGAAGCGAAGTAAATTTACTGTGCAGATGAAAATTAAATATTTTTTCCAAAACATTTTTGGAGAGGTTGCTTTGATAAAATGAAAAAGAAACTAACGTTTGGTGGTTCCAACACTTTTGGAGAAACATGTTCATCAAAACAAAATTCTTAATAAATAAAAAAAAACTCTTTTTCCCAGGCGCTCAGAGAAGCTTAAGCCAATAACTTAAAGATTTGTAACTGCATTTAATTAAGGGATTTGAAAACTGGAGACTAGAAACGCTTAGTTGAAATTAAAAAATCCACTAAGTTCTTAAGAAGATTATCATATTGGTCTTAACTAAGAAGACGGTGAAGGGAGAGTGGGAAAACTCCGATTGAAGCGCGCAGCTCTTGTCGCTGATGTTCAAACTTTTTGCATTCAAAGAGGAGGTGGATAGCAGATTCTGGTTGTTGACAGTGGTCGCATAAAGGGGAGTCAACGAGCCCTATTTTTGCATATATTGCGTTAAGTTGGATTGTGTTGCTTCGGAGACGCGAGATTAAGATATCGTATTTTCGGTTTGGGAGTTGATTGAGGGAAGTTTTATTAACTGGGTGATCAAAGGGGAANCAGCCAGTGATGCTTGACTTCGGTAATCTGCTGGGAGCCGTGTCTTAACGATCAGTCCACTGCGGGACGTTAGAGAAAGACATCATAAAGATACTTCTAGAGTTTCGGTGGGATTCGAATCCACGATCTAAACGCTTCTCGTTTGGTGAAACGGTGAGACCACTCGGTCAGGAGGACCCTTTCGGTTCAGTCCTATATTTGAGTAAGATGGAGTGGCCAAGAGACTAAAATCCGATAAAATGTGACAGAGGTCACAGATGTTTGCTTTTCTCTGAAGCCAATGAAAGACTTACAATAAGTTTACTAAATATGATTTATTAACTCTATTAGGGACCTCCGTGTGGAATATGGACGTAGCGGGTACGATTCCCGCTCTAATTCTGGATCTATCTTTGTGATATCCGTCTGCAAATATGCCATCTGTTCTTCAATAAGACAAAGGCTGCCGTTTTAGAAAGTAACCCTGCATTTATGAATAAGATGTGAGCTTTCATCACATTTATTTTACGCTACTTAAAATTCTTATCAGACGGGAGATGAAAACAAGTTTCATTTATCCTACTACTCTTAAGCTTCGTAGATGAACAAATAATTAACGGAAAAAGCATTCCCGCAACAGTTCGTTATGGGCCTAGGGTGTCATTAAGGTTAAGATTTTACAAATGTGTGACCAACGGCATGATTGTGACAATGCGCACGAAGCCTCTTTTACTTCTCGGACAAGCTGGTAAACATAGTTGCATAGTTGTGAAGCTGGGTGAGATTTACAACCACCTCTGAGGATCGAGCCTCAGTGACATCTCAGTGCCTTTAACCGCTGAGCCATCAAGGCTCTGTAATTAATTTAGCTATTGTGCATTTGGAAATGAGATACATGCCTTACTTCGTACATAGATTATTAAAATTTTGAATTAATCTTTGTAAATAGATGCTGACTTTAGAAAAGTTAGTAACGGAAGAAAAAAATCGACTTGAACGCAGAGCGTCCAGATGATAAGAAAAATGGTACCAACTAGACCCCTACGCCAATGAACAGAAGAAAAACTTAATTACAGTTGTATGATGTTGAAATTTTTAATTATTTTTTCCCCTCAGTATCAGGTGAACCGGGTTCAAACCCCAGAGATGGCTGGTCGATACGAATTCCGCACCTGGAGAGCACCGACCACAGTGCTAACTTAAAATATCCTCCATGGATCATGGGTTAGAGTCACCTTGTCGTCAGACTAACCGTGGAAGATTATCTTGGTTTTCCTCTTCACATAGCGCAAATGCATTTTAGTTCTATAGAAAAGTCCCCCACGAAGGCAAATTCCGCCCAATACTTGATCAAGGAGTTCCCTTGTCTTTTGGATTGGGTTCAAAATACGAGGCTATGGAGTTGAACATTAGTAGTATTGAGCCCAAATTTGGGTTGGTTGTTCAACGACGATTTTAAAATAAAATGAAATGTATATCTAATCCGGTTTCTCAAACAGATCACAGCAAAGCGGTACTTTTCTATCGTATTCCGTTTGTCTTTATTCGGGTTTTTTTTTTAAATCGTCGGTCGTTTTTTGGAGCACTCAGTACCTATCTCCAGAGATAGAGAGAGAGTGCATAGGATGTAGTCGAGAGCATATATGGCAGTACTTTTACTTTCGTTACTTGTACCGCCGGTACAAGTAAAAAGTACGTACTTTTACTTGTACTTCGTTACTTTTTAAATTTAGTACTTTTACTTGTACTTTCGTTACTTTTTTAGGGAAAAAGTACAAGTATTTGTAACGGAAATATCGAATGAAATCGTTACTTTTTTCTAAAACTCGGTAAGCTTTCTAAAAAAACAAAAAATTAAATTTAAAAAAAATGCTTATGTTTTTTTAATTTATAAAATTAATGTGCAATATATATGCATTCACAGCTAACTTCGTGTTTAAATACCTTCTGTTTCAACTTATACTGCACATTCAATTATTTTTTACTAGCTCAAAGATCACAAAGCTATCTGAAACCCCGTGTTTGCTTTGTTTATGTTTGTGCTTTTAAAACGCGTTTCTAAAGAGTAAAACAATTTTAAATCAATGGTAATTTAAATAAATAAAAATAATAAACTAAAAATTAAAATCAATAGATAAAATTTCTTTTTCGTGCAAATCCATAAAAAGTTTGATATTAAAATTATATTTGATTTTAAAATTATATTATACGATTATATTATAAAATTATATTATAATATTCTTCCGAATTTAAAAATAAATTAATGTCCATAACTTTCAAAATTAAAAATAATTAAATAAATAACAACAATTTTGCAAAAACATTAAAGAACATAAGAATATTATTCAATAAAATTTTAGGTTACTTTGAATTTTCGATTTCCTAGAAATGTACTTTTAAATCGTTACTTTTTTTGTTTAGTACTTGTACTTTTACTTGTACTTTTTACTCGTTACTTTTTAAAATACAAGATATTTACTTTTTACTCGTTACTTTTTTTAAAAATACTTGTACTTTTACTCGTTACTTTTTAAAAGTAACGTTGCCATATATGGTCGAGAGTAAATTTTTCTGACCATTTTAAACAAAATAATAAAAAATAATAAATATTTACTAAAGGTTATTTTTTTATGGAATTATCTTAGGATAAACGAATTTTATAATTGTGAACAAAAAGTATTTCAATTCGCTTAAAAAGTTCTCGAGATGTAGCGAAATACGCAAAAAATAAAAATGGCATTGAGGAGTCCAAACTTTGGAGCTCCCTCCTGCCCAATTTATTGGCCACATCTTTTCCAGATTGAGGATATCCCCTATATTTTGGGGGTTATAGAAAACCGAATCCACCGAAGAAACGGTATGTTTATTCAGAGAAAATGCGTTTTTTAGTCTGATTTCTTAACTTAAAATATAGCCAGTACTTACTAAAATTAACATATTTTAGGTAACCCCCTCAAACCATGAAGACTGAGTCCTAGAGCGTGAAGATCCGATTATTTGCTCAAAAGTTATTTAGGGGATTTGGTTTTTTTTTATGCTACCACTTTTTGCCCTTTGATTATTAAGCATTCCTTCCAATCTACTCATATATGCCCTCATAATTCAAATGGATTCGTTAGCATAAAATTGTTCAGTATTATGTAGGAAGCAAGCCGACTTGTCTGTATGGTGGTCAGGGAGCTAAGCTCATGTGAGAAAGGTCCCGGTTTCAAATCCCAGTCAGAGTCATGGATGTTTCTTCCTTCTTCTCTCTGTACTATCTGTTCTTTTTGTGGAGGTAACATTGATCCATCTAATATGGTGCCCCTGAAAGAGTGGTCAACACATACGTCCTTCTGCTGCCCAAATGACGATGTATCATATGAATGGGCATCTGAAAAAATATAAAAAGTAAAAGATTTTACGTATCACGTAAAATTAAAACAAGGAAGTAGATTGAAAAACAACTATAAGTGTGTGATAAAAAATACATAAATACAGTTAGTTTCATTTTAATTAATTTTCACCAACTCTTCCGGAGTTCAAGAAAATTTTATTATTTTACTTAAAGTTGTAGCAAAATCTATGCTTTTACATATGATTCTTAGGTTATAACCATTGCACATAAATAATTCCAGTATATATTGATAACCATAAAATTTCAATCATTGGTTTACAGTTTACACAATCGGAAAACTATATATATATATATATATATATATATATATTGTTTACCATTGTCTATCTATTTGTCAGTTCATAAAAATTACAAAAATTCTTCCACAAAAAGCATAAAAAATTGGCAGCTTTGAGTTACGTATGACATTAAACTCCTGATAAACCTTTAATTCAAGAACTGGTCTTAAACGGGTGATACTGTCGGCTTATCTCAATAATTTATATTTAATCAAATACTTTACTATTTTGTATACATCTCTGTCAGATTTTAGTGAAATCTTAGCCAACGCTGATATTGGTCAAGTAAGTTGATAAGATGTATTTCTTGATAGATGAGATTTCTTTGGCGTGATGTTTTCTTTCCTTTTTTTAAACAAGGAAGGCTGGTATTTAGATAAATTGCAAGATATTTGATGCAAAGCATTTGAGTAAAACTGTTGCATAGATCGAACTCCAGGGATTTTCATTAAACATAATGGTAAGTGATACTAAATAACTAATTTTGCATTTTATCTTGGAATTTTTTTATTCGTTTCAAATAAATTTATATTATGTTTACTATAAATATTTATCATTTATATACCATAACCTTATAACCCGTTATCTAATGAACGGAACTTTTTCCAAAAAAAATCTTATAATTTTTGACGGAATTCTTTTTTGTTATTTTCTTCCTTTGCATTATTTGACTGATTGCAACAGAAAGAGGAAAAAAATTATAATCCCTTTAAATTTTTCGATTTTTTTTTCTCTCGAAACTGGAAACAATGCAATTATATTTTCAATAGACGGGTGAACGGCTTATTGTCGAATCTAGAAGAGAAATAATTTGTTCTTTTTTTTTCCTGCAGATATTTTGCTACATCGATATAAATAAAACATCTTCTTTCTTTATTACATTACTATTTAATTCATTTATTGATACCGATGCATGTATACTGGCACGTGTGCTATATTACATTACTATATTTGCAAAAATGATCACACAAAACATTGTAAATCCCAATGCATCATAGGAACCTTTCATCTTCTTTGATATTTTTTTTTATCGTCTGATTAAATTTTAAATACAGTTTGATTTCGTTCTCTATGGCTTGGTTATCTTAAGTAAATTAAATCCTTCAGGATTTGATTGCACGTGAAGGAAAATTCTTACTTCAAGGTCCACGGTATCACATATGAAACGAGATTTTTCTGTTTCTAGCAACACAAGATCGCACACAGACGTGATCTCAATTATATCTCGTAAACGTGTACTCTCGAAGCATACGGACCTTGTGCCATTTTCGAAACTATATTTAACTTGATGTAGCACATTTTTACAACTCATATTCCTTTTGTAAACTAGAAATAAAAGTATTGCCATTTTTGTATCCATTTAAAGTATGATTTTTCTCCTTGAACTGAAATAGAAAAAAAACGCGCAAATCAAGAAGAAAAAAAATCTAAATCAATTTTATTTTTTTTAAAAAAAAAATGGAAAGGAAATGGAAAGTTTTGATTTTTAAAATTCTACTAAGGCTAGAATCGTAGTAGAAAATATTTTTCGTCCAGAAGAATTGTTACTTCCGTATAGTTTTAGTTATTAAAACAAATACTTGTATTATATTTAACTAAAATTAAACTTTCAGAAAATATCATACAAAAACATATTGCAATATTTTTTTTATATATAAAATTGTCTGTTATCTCATTTACCTACTCCTAGTTACAGTGTAATGTCTTTGTTTAATGTCATTTATATTTTAAAATTCATAATTCAACACTTATTTTATTTGTAGAGAAACCATGAAAACCTCCCATGGTTAGCTCAGCAAAAATCGGGTTATAACACGTGATCTTTCCTTCACTGGTGTTATTTTGCGTCAGAAATGCGTTCGATCTAGGCAGATGTTTGAGTATACTATTTTTAAATTTCTGAATTTTTATTTCTGAGCATTGAAGTCCAGTCGATGCACAAAGGGTTACATCAGATTATACTTTAATACTGCATTCAAAAGCTTAATTTCTGCAACAACAACAGAAAAAGATAGCAAAGTGAACATGTAGAGGAAAAAATCATCCCTGTTTTGCTTCACTAACAAAAGAGGGACACGGTTTAAGAAATTTAATTCGTGATAAGATTTAAGCAGGCCACACACTGAAGAGGCATACGAGAGGCAGATTTCTATACATTTGCATTAAGTTGCGCATATCACCTCTGCTTATCCTTATGAAAAAGTATAGGAATTCGCCACCTTCACGCTTCTTTCTTACCTCTTGTTTCCTCAGTGTATGGTCTACCATAGTAAAATAATGTGTATTCACCCTTTAACATAATGGAACATACTGGTTAGCCAATTCCGAGAAAGTACAGCTTATTCTTTTGCTGATATAAGCTCTGGCCAACGACGCAATAGCCTAGGTGTTGACATCCTTATTTGCTGTGGTGACGCTCGGCGTTTAATTTTCATTGGAGGTTACTCCCTTAATTATGATATAGTTTTCCTTTTTATAAAACCTACACTCACAAATAATAAGAATTTAAATCTAAATAATTTTGCCTGATCTGGTAATAATATTTTTCATCTAATTCTAATATTCCAATATAATAATTTTAGATATTAGATATTACCTATATAGTTCCAATACTAATCCAATCTTTCAAATATTAATAATCTATTTATAATATTTATGGTCCATTAACATTTTCTAATAATATCTATTGATAATATTTACATTTATTATTAAGATTAAATTCATCTATTAATCATATTTTGTTTCATCCAATTATAATATTATTCCAATAGACAAATAACACATAATTCAATACTAACATAATCTTCCAAATATTAATAAGATGCATAATAAAGATTTCAATAAATAGTGCTTACACTGAAATGGAATATTTATAACATTGGAGTAGAATGGATAAAAGGAATATTTTAACACTTTCAATAATATTTATTACAAACACGAAGCAGGAAAATTTTATTTATAACTATAATTCATACACTCATTATCATTTTAAATTTGAGAGATTTCATTAATACTCTAATTTAATTATCAAATAATATTTAGTCCCGCAGTGGACTGATCGTTAAGACACGGTTCTCAGCAGATCACCGAAGTCAAGCATCACTGGCTACGGTCAGTGTGCGGGTGGGTGACCACTTGGATCAGTCTGCGTAGGGACCGAGGGTGTGCGGTATTGGTCCTCGTTAAACTGTGCTACCGTAAAGTGCTCGACTTCGCGCGCAGGTCGTCGGGCTACCGAAGCAAGGGTGCCATCCCCTCCGCAGAGGATCAAAATTGTGATGGCATGTCTTCGGATCATCCTCCGGGATGTTTCCCAGACCGTCGCCAATAGCCCATTGTGCAGCTCTAGTGCGACGTAAATTAACAAAACATAACAACAACAAATAATATTTAAAACTAACAAATTTATGAATAAAATAAAGCCATTTAATTTTGAATTAATATTTGTAAATGATGCTGACTTTAAAATAGTTAGTAATGGAAGAAAGAAAGACAGACTTGAGCACAGAGCGTTCAGACGATAAGAAAAAATGGTACCAACTAGACCCCTACGCGAATGAACAGAAGAAAAACTTAACTACAGTTACATGATGTCGAAATTTTTTATTACTTTTTTTCCCTCTAAATCAGGTGAACCGGGTTCAAATCCCAGCGATGGCTGGTCGATTCCACACCCGGAGCACACCGACCACAGTGCTAACTTAAAATATCCTCAGTGGATCATGGGTTAGAGTCGCCTTGCCGTCAGACAAACCGTGGAATGTTATCGTGGTTTTCCTCATCATGCAACGCAATTGCGGGTCAGTTCCATCAAGAAGTCCTCCACGAAGGCAAATTTCTCCCAATACTTGATCCAGGAATTCCCTTGTCTTCTGGAATGGGTTCAAAATTAAAAGGCTACGGAGTTGAACACTGGTAGTCGTAAACCCAAAATTTGGGGCGGTTGTCCAACGCCGGTTATAAAATAAAATATAAAACTAAATTACTTTTTTTTTCGGAATCAGCATAACAGTACACTATAACTTTAAAAGGTTGAACACCTTTAAGGTTATACACGAATTCTTACTCTCGGAACGAATTTTCAAACTCGTGAGATTGATTTTTGCAAATTGAAACTATTAGTTGAATTCTATTACATGTGAATATTTTTTTAATCTAACCTATTTTATTTTTCAGACGACCTATACAGACAAAGGGCCAAAGGTAAGTTATTAAAATATCATTTTAGTTAGAATGATTATTAGAAACTAGTTTAATTAAATGGATCTTAATAGTCATTTAATATCTTGCTGCTAACTGTGAACAATTTTAGAAGTCTGTGCAACGTTGTAAGTTGTTTTTACCTTCATGATTTTTTTATACCAATTTAAAAAAACTCACGAATTTTGCTCATCCAATACTAAATTCAGCCATCATTGACTATTGTTTTATGTTAATATACCTATGCTAACTATGGACAATATTAATTGTCTATCCAGAGTTGCAAATTGTTTTTACCTTTAGATTTCTGCAACAGACGGTGTTAAAGAACGCGTGAATTACGCTCGTTCAATACTAAATTTAGCAAGTGTTTATTTTTTTGTATTAAAACGTGAGGAATTATTTTAAGAAAAGCCTTTTTAAACCTTTAATTTTGAATAATAATCAAAATCAGTATTGTATTAATAGCAGAGGATAATATTAACCAAAGATGATTAATAAATATTTCTGATAAATACCGTTAAATAAGGAATAAATAAATAATTTACAGTTAAATACTGTTATGTTATTATGGTATTTGCCTTTATTGTTTATTCAATTCTCGTTGATGTCGATTATGCTGCTCGTTATGTTTTTAACGTGAAATTTTTTATCTAATAAAGATGCTCTAAAACGTAAAACGGCAATTATCTTTTTATAATGCAAAAATATATATCTAAGTTTAGTTTGTTATTTTTCCAGCCTGATAAAGGAAGGTTCTTACACTTTGACCATCTTACTTTTTGGGTAGGAAATGCAAAACAGGTAAATATTATAATTTATTTTTAATCAAAATTTATCCTAAAGAATACTTTTATGAAAATTTGTAGTTTGTTAGTTTCAGACTAATTCTGAAAAACATAAAATATTACACAAAAATTATTTAAGAGTTAAAATACTAAACATGCTTGCACTAGACCGTTTTTCAAGGAAGTTCAAAGCTGCTTTATTTGTAAAAGATAAGGAACTGGTAGTAAAACATGTTCTCTTACCTTTTTTTCGGGAAAAATAAATTATCTGCGACTTAAAAAACTTAATAAATATTCTAATTAGGACAATGATACACACAAATGATACATATTTCGCAAATGATACACTACTAAAACTGTTATTGGTATTCAGAAGTTACTAATTCCTCTGGAAAAAGAGTCACAGAAGGAATCGCTCTTCCTACCACTGCTATTTGTTCTTGCTACCTTTCTGATTACTATTAGTTGCTATCTTTTACCAATAAATAGTAGCTTTTCTAATAGGACGTAGAAGTAACCGGTCAGTTAGGTATTATTTACGGTTTTTAAAATTTTAATATTTCTCCCATAAATTATCAAAGTCGCCGACCGGCCTGTATAGGATTACCAATTATTGGTGAATGAGCTTACCTTTTTCGAGCAATAACATATATTTGTCGATACTCAAGTTATGGCTTGAGAGGTGAGCGAGGAAGTAGTACAGTATACAATGGAGTACTGGGCTGAGTTTTCTATTCTATCTCACGCAGAGATGGAAATAATTTTGTTACTTCTGCTGCCTACTATGCTAAAATATCCCGAACTCATACTTATGTTTGTGTGGTTTAATGACTGCCGGACAGATTTTAAAATATTACTAAAATTCGATGCATAAAGAACTTAGACAATATCGCGGACATATATTGAAAATAGTTAAAATTGAAATCAAAGTACTTCCGCGAGGGCAACAGCTAAACGGTGAAAAAAATTTTGTTAATATACTGTTTGAAACTAATTAAGGTGTTATGATTGGAAGAGAGGTTGAGGAATTAGAGATATTTAAACACAGTTGTGTTATGCATATAAACTTAAAGGCTTCATTACTATTACGGTTTATATGTTATACAAGATAATTCTCAAATGTGACCAAGCTGGTAGCCAAAGGCAACTAGTATTACGCAATTCTCTTGTTTTTTTAGCGCATTCTTACTTTTTTTCTTTTTAATTTTCGACGTAATCACTTTTTCCAAAAAGATGCTTTTTAACCTCACGACAAACTGTTGCGTTTACGCAACGTTAGAGGAGAATGGGTTAAATATATATATATACTGTACTCTTAGCTAACTAAATCTCATAACTAAAATATATGTTATTTGTTAATCCCTTGATTATCATAATATTAATGTTTCACTTTTTTATAGGCTGCTTCGTACTACTGTTCTAAAATGGGATTCGAACAATTAGCATACAAAGGATTAGAAACAGGCTCCCGTGAAGTTGCTGCTCATGTTGTGAAACAAAATAAAATAATTTTTGTGTTTATTTCTCCATATAACCCAGGAAATCGAGGTAACGTTTGCTTGAAATTGATTTCATAATTTATAAATATTTGAAATAATTGTTATTATATTTTTGACCAAGATTTTTGCCTTACCGTATGTTTAAATTTCGACTTGATCATTTTTTCGCTTACTTTAGATCTGAATTTGTTAAAAATTTTGCATAAAAGGAAATATTAAGTTCTATATGATGTAAATTCATTAAAATAATGCTGATGATTCTATTTTTTTAGAAATGGGGGATCATTTGGTGAAACATGGTGATGGAGTAAAAGACATAGCGTTTTCTGTTGAAGATTTAGATGCAATAGTGAAGGTAGGCTTTAAATATTCACTTTAAAAGCATTTTGAATTTTTCTAATTACTAGATTAAAAAAAAAGAATATTAATTTTTAATTAATATAATTTTAGCGCTGCAAACTTCGTGGTGGAGAATTAGTTCGAGATATCTGGGAAGAAACAGATGAAGGCGGAACCGTACGATTTGCTACCGTAAAGACAGTGAGTATTTTAATTTAATTGAAGAGCTTGGAGGGGGGGATTTAATAATAAGCCATATATCCTTCATAATCGTTCAGGAGGGAAAATTCTGGGAAAAAATTTAACAATTTCCACGTAGGCAATATGCAAAATGGGTTGAAGCTTCTGCGTATTATGCTGTTATCTAGTGGAAATTTCAGAAATATGTAAAATACGTATTTAAAAACAATACTTAGATTCTTGTTTGAATGTTTTTAAAATTTCTACTAAGAGGCTTCGCTTAAAAAAAATTATCCGACAATTTAGAATAATTATCAAGCCTTTTGTCGCAAGCTGTTGTCCTTCAATTCTGAGATTTTTAAAAATAAAAAGATAGATTTTATAATTTAAATAAGAATTTTTGAGGGAAAAAAAGAAACAACAAAGAATTGTATTGAAATATAAGTGTTGCACCTGCATTTATTTCTTTATTCAGTGTAAACGTTTAAGTCTGGATGCATTTAATTAGTTTTTAAACTACGACCACTATTAGCTGTAAAAAAAAAATGTCTAAAAAGACTACGAACAGTTTAAAGAGATCAATTTAAAAACTCCTAGTATTTAAATGCGGAATCATTATTTTTGACTCGCAAACTGTAAAATGCACGAGAAAAAATCGGTTAAAAAATAACAGAGCAAATTCGAAGAGATAGAAAGCAACTTAGCGAGAAGATACGCATACTGCATACATTTTAGAAGGCTTTATCAAGAACATAAATGTCCTGAAATATGGTACAGAACAATAACGAAATCAGCTATTGGACAAGTATAGTTTGTCTAAAGTAAGAACCCCCCTAACCATTCGCCTGGACCAGTGGCGGTGAGTATGGTAACGAGGTATAACTATTATTTCAAGTAGGGGAATTGGGTCACTCTTTAGAACAGGTTTTGACTCAGATCGGTGAGAGAAATGGAATCTTTTTCTTCGGTCTACTGTATTAGTCCTAGAGTGAAAAGCTACCCTTCCTGAAATGCGCTATTCTTGTTTCCATGGCAGCAGATGGCCTCAGACTTTGTGGCGGGGGAAGTTCTTACCATAGACAAACTATACTCAGTTTCAGATTTTTGCCTCAGACATTGTTTATATAGCACTTTCTCAAAGCAAGGTTTTTCATGCTCCATAACCTTTTCAATTTTTAAACTAATTTGAATAAATATTTATCCATCATACTCTGCATTTTTTTTTTAATTTCGTTTATAAGGTTCGATGAATTAAGTGATAAACTTAAACTTTAGACTGATCTTACTCTTCTTTGACAGTTTGGAGATACCACTCATACATTTGCTGATAGATCAAAATATAATGGACTTTTCTTACCAGGTTACAAACAACCACTGCTGAAAGATAAGAGTCTTCTTAAATTGTAAGTAATTATTCATTACATATGTTAATTCAATCCAAGATAGAGTAAAATAAAGGAAATTTAGGTTGATTTTTAGAAGTTAAAAGATAATAATAAATTTAGCAATATAAAGTTCGAGTAAATGTTAAGCCTAAATCCGATTTTATTAACAGAAATTTGTTATGATAAAGCTTGCTATGTTTGAGATGATTTTAAAAACACTAGAGGGGAGAATTGTGTTAGACTCGTGATAAAAAAGTAGCCGGTAGAATTTCTATTTGTAAATGAAGAAACTTGCTATGGTAAAATTTTCGACATAATTTTAAAATGTAAGTACTATTGTGGTCAGTTACGTAAACTTATCGTCATAAAATATGTTATTATACATTTACATAATATAAATTATTTAAAATATGACTGAACAAATAAATAATCCGCATGCGTAGTAGATCAAATCCTACTTAATTAATTCGTAAGAACTGTTGTTGTCGTCGGCCATTAAGGCAGACGGGAGCGATTGTTATTTTCCAGTGCTGCCATCTATGGACGAGAATTCGACTTCAGCCACACCCATACATTACACCCGTTTTATAGGGTGGAATTTTTAAGAACAAGAAAAATTACTTAAAGATTTTATAATCCCACAAGAAATTTTTGATTATTTGTAAACATATGCTCAATTGCATAAAACTAGAACATGATCTTAATAATCTGAAAATTGTAAAACTTTACAGTTTAACAATTATTAATAAATTCTTGAATATTTCAGATACATTTAGGTTTTTGTCATACTTTATAACAACTTTGTTTTTAGGCCTATCACAGGATTGGATTTTGTGGACCACTGTGTTGGGAATCAACCAAATGATGAGATGGTACCAGTATCTGATTGGTAATTGAATTTTCACACTAGTTCTTTAGTTACTTTGGACATTTAAATTAACATAAACATTTAAATTAACATAAAAATTGAAAAGGTAATGAATGTTCTTTAATATATAATACTTTAAATCGATCATTTTAAACAAATTTTCTGAGAATGAGAAATTTTTGAGAAATGTTTTATAAACATTTATTTAAATATTAACTAATGTATACGTAGTATTGAGCTTTTATAACTCTTTACTCACCAAACGCAATAAAACATTAATACACACTTTAAAAAAAATATTAAATAAAATAATACATTTTCTTACTTTCACTGAATAAAATGAATACGAGACGATTGGAAGAGAAAATTTTAGAATTCATGTAAGTGATAGCTACTTCTTATCTAGCAATGTCGTGGATATGAAAAGATCAAAAATGAAATCCAAAATAGGAACTAAAGTCAAAAATACTGTTGAAACCCACAAACCACTCTTTCATTTTTCTATACTTATAATGCATTGTTCATCCTCTTGGATTACTATTCGCACCAATCTGGTCTGTGCGAGTCGGAAGCAGAATTCGTATAGATCAGTAATAGTCAGTCATTCGAACCTAGGTCACCTTAATGAGAGGCAAGGGCTCTATCCCCTGATCCATCGTAACTCACAGAGAAATTTCATTTTGTCGTGAGCAGCCGACCAATTCTGATTTTTACGACTATTAAAGTACTTCGTAGCCTTGTAATTTCGAACCCAATCCAGAAGACAAGGGCATTGGGACAAGATAGAAGTTTGTTCCAATCCTTGATCAGGCATTGGGACAAACTAGTCTTCGTGGAGAACTTTTTGATTGAACTAATCCGCATTTGCGTTATATGGAGAGAAAAAACACGAAAACATGCCACGGTTATCCCGGTGACAAGGGGATTCTAACCTATCATCCGTCTATCAATGCTGAAGTATCTCTCGCCGCGCCGATCCTCCAACGTCACTCTAGTGACGTCACTTTGGCGCAAAGCTCGCACTTTTACTTCAAGAGCGGAGAGTTTGGCCTTACTAGCTCTAAGTAATATTGGATCATTTCTTTTTGTGAGATATTCTAAGACATTTGTTATTTTCTATAATGACTTTCCTCAGNTAGTAGAAAATAGATAAGTCTAGTCTTCGTGGAGAACTTTTTTATTGAACTAATCCGCATTTGCGTTACATGGAGAGGAAAAACACGAAAACATGCCACGGTTAGCCCGGCCACAAGGGGATTCTAACCTATCATCCGTCTATCAATGAGGATATTTTACTTCATTCTGCCGTGAAATTGAAAAAAAAAAAACACTGTTACTGCTTCAAGATAAAATTTCAGAAAAATTATTTAAAATTTTTTTTCTTCTTTTTTTTAAAAAAATTTGCAATCATCTTATTATAGAAAAGCTTCCCACATATAAAAAAAATTCTCAAATTTGAATTATTTGTTCCTTACGTTGATTCATTTTTCGCACGGCAGTAATGATGTTAAGCAAAATTAAATAACTTAACACTTTTTAAAATCAGTTATTCGATGATGGAATTATGCTGTGTTACATCTCGACTTTCGCAAAGCGAACAAAAATCGAAGTTAATCAAATGAATTTTTATCTCTTTTTACTGTTTTAAGTATTTTATAATATTTTAATTGTTGAACTATTTTGGTATAAAAAAATAAAAGAAAGATTTAGAATAAAACTCTAAAATGCAATTTTGCACTGTTCGAAATAGGTATGAGAAAAGCTTGATGTTCCATCGTTTCTGGTCAGTTGACGATAAACAAATCCACACAGAGTATTCAGCCTTGAGGTCTATTGTTGTAACTAATTATGAAGAAACAATAAAGATGCCTATTAATGAACCTGCGCCTGGGAAGAGGAAGTCACAAATACAGGTAAATGTAGATTATAAGGAACCATTTTCTTTTCCATCCATTTTCCAACCATTTTCTTATACGGAAAAAAACATGCATATATCAAAATCTGAGAGATGCATTTTTAAAAGTATTAAATTCTCAACAAGGTGAAAAAAATAATTCATAATCATCAAACTAAAGTCAGAGACAGAATCACAAAAACTAGTAGTAAAAACGTTTATGCATTTTCCTTATACACATTTTATCTGGTACAGCGTGTCAGCACTCTTGTTCTGTTTCTACTGACACTTGACACAATTCAAGCTCGCCAGCCATTGGTCTTTTGCAAATTAAGTCAGGAAGGAGCGCCTTTCGTTTTAAGAGAGCACCGCAAAGGATGAAAGTACGTCTTAGCTCAGAACTGCACGGATAGATGACAGCACCACTCATTTGAGAAGCAACTTCCTTAATTTAGACATAAATCTGAAGGGTAAGGAAATTTTTCTCAGATCCCTGTACCCATGGTACTGATCAGAAACCAACCACAAGACTTTCGATTGAACAGATTTTACGAACGCGTCATTCTTATCCAAGTTGAGGATCGAAAACCGGCCTCCTCAAAACCACAGTACGATTCTCTAACCACTGGGCTACCACAGCCCCATCATTTCATTTGAATATGAAAAGCATTAAAACTTTTTTATATATATATTGTATTTTAAATAGCATTGTATACTTAATTTAAACCTGATTTGTAACCTGACTAAATTAGAAATAAAAAAATGGGTTTGCTCAATTTGGTTGAAAATTATTTTTAAAGACTTCACTTTTATATGGAACTAGGGGCTCTGTGACCGAGTGCTAGCTAACATTCACTGCCTCTTGCTACTCTTAATCCTTAAAAGTTTGCTGCAGAAACATTGTTAGCGAAAATGAGAGCTCTTTCTCTGCCTCTCTAAATGAAGCATTTAACAAGTGAATATATAATACATGTGTTCCTCTATCTCATGTTAAAAAACTATGAAATAACTTTAACAATTCTACATAAAATTCCGCACTAACTAAATTGAAAAACTTAAAATAATGCAATCATTATACAATGCAAAAATATGTATATTAATACTTTAATAATTAAAATGATCGTAGATAATTTTTTTTAAATTTTAGGAATATGTAGATTATTACGGTGGAGCAGGTATTCAACATATTGCTTTAAATACGAAGGATATCATCAAGGCAGTAAGCAAAACTTTATTTTTTTACAATTTATATCTACATAGATCATGACTGTTTTCTATATGAATTTAAGATTAATAAATGAAATGACAATATTATTAGATTATTATTAAAAAATACTTTTTAAAAATAAATAAATATGCTAAATTCTTTATAAAAACATTTGTAGATTTCGAATCTTCGAGAGAGAGGAATGGAGTTTCTTACCATCCCTGCTACTTATTATAAGACTCTGAAAGAAAACTTAAAGTCAGCTAAAATAAAAATTGCAGAAGACATGGATATAGTAAGTAATGTTAATTTTAAGTGTATCTGTCCTATAATGACAGTCTTTTAATAAGTTTAAATCTTGCACCAAGTCAAGTGAAATGAAAAGATAAGTTAAAGTTTAATTTAAAAAGTTAAAATAAAAATATTTTAGTTAAATGCTTTAAACTACGAGATTAGATAGTATTATAATGTTTAATTAACTTTACAGATGTCTCTTAACCTTCCCAGCACTTACAGCGTTGGATAAAATTGTCTGCAATTCTCTCTGTTATACAACTAAACTATCACGCAGAAAGTTAGAAGTATAAGAAAATGAACAGCAAAAAAATTAAATTAAAATATAAAAGAAACTGTCTAAATTAATGAAAAATATAATTAACTAAAATTCAAAACCTGCTTACGTTAATTAACTTTACAAAGTTCCTTAATTATAAATAATAAGCAATTAAGAATCGTAATAAGTTTGGAAGAAACTATAAAATAAATTATCCACAGATTAGAACTAAAGTATTTTATATAATGGATTGTTAAAGAAGCCTTTAATAATGAGGCAAAATCAGAATCAAACTTTAGTAGAAAATTGATAAGTTTTCAATGTTTACAAAATTTTCAAGCTACTGCTTTAAATTATTTATTTATTATTATTTAAAACAATTTTTATGTATCAGATTTTATTTTTAAAAAAAATAGTGAAAATTTAATTATGATATCCAAAAAATGAGTTTAAAATATTACAATATTTTCACTTTCAAATTGAAAAAACAAGAGGGTTCCTAATTAAAATTCACATTGATGAGTTGTCTATATCAAAAACTATGTAAAATGATTTCAGAAAAATAGGGTAGCGACATAATAAAATTATGGAGATTTTTCTACCAAAAAAAGAAAAGAAAGAAAAAAAAAATTATGAATACTACTAGATGGTGTTTTACCCTACAGTTTAGCCTCTCAGATCCCCAGATTTGAATCTTTGCAGCTTTTGGCAGTGAAAATATTTCAGAGCCTTGGTCTAAAGAACCTATTACATCTGTCTCCAAACCTAAAGTCACCATAGCATTACCATGGGCATAATATTACTCAGCATACATTACATTTGATGATTTAACCAGCAATTTTTCACTTCTAGATGTTGGAAGACAATGGTGGGCAACATGCTTCTGAATAGAGTATTGCTAAATTTTGCATTCTATCACTTGTTAATTATATATATTTTATAATGTAATGTCTAAACCTTAAAATTTGATTTTATTTTCTTATGCAAAAATTTAATACAAAATTTAAAATTAAGGAGGCAATAACTCATAAATATGTTGGTTTTGTCAAAACGTTAATACAAAAATTTAGATTATTATACATTTTACATTAGTGTAAAATTAAATTTTATTTAACTATTCCTGAAAAATTGTTTACTTAATTTTGAAACGTAATAAAATCTTACCATTTTGTTAGCTTCAAAAATTGAACATACTGATTGATTATGATGACAATGGCTATCTTCTCCAAATATTTACGAAACCTATGCAAGATCGCCCTACATTATTTTTAGAAGTTATTCAACGACATAATCACCAAGTAAGTTGAACACTCTGTATATTTTAAACTCATATACATATACTTGAAGCTTAAGATTTTTTTATATGATTTGCACAATTATTAATCCTAACATTTAAGGCCATTAAAAACATTGTACCAGATTAAGTAAATCATTGCTTTTTCCAAATGAAAATAATTTCATTTATAATTTATGTATATTTTTACATATGGTGACAATACAGCCACAATACTGCCGTGTAATAAAGAAATCAACAAACGTGTCGAAAATTTAAAGTTGAGATTTTTACGTATTTAGCATTTCTGTGTGATAAGCTGATTCTGTATGATTGCAAAAAAATAAATAAATAAATTTTAAAAAAAATCATTTTTTAAAAATAATTTTTTTTTATCAGTTATCTGATATTCTTCTTTAGACTTTGTCCGTACTAAAGACATCCTTTCGTGAAGGAAAAAAATCCCCACTTGAGCAATAAACGGTGTGGAAGTGTTTGCTCGGCGGTTTGAAGTGATTATGTGACTTAAATATCGTTAGAAGGAATTAACTAGCATATTTCAGATTAGATACTGGAACCAATAAAATCGCATCTTACTAGCAAGTACTAGCAAGGGAAAGAAAATAGTTTAATAGAAAATCGAAAGAAATAGTTCAAAATCTATTGTGAAACACTTGCATTGCTTTTTCCAATTGCAAAGCAGAACAGAGGTCCAACTCCACTTATTCATTTATTAAAAAAAAATGGAGCTAACCTCACTTTAATGCTCATACAAGTAAATTCGATATTATTTTAAAACTAGTACAGCTCCAGCTTACTTTTGCAGCTAAACAGAGAACATCACAAATTAGACAAGATAGAAAAATTTATAATTTAAGGTTCTGTAACTCAAAATGAACAAATGAGCAATAACACATCTGTTTTAATAATGCCTTAAATTAATATAGCAATAAATAGTTTAAATTATATTACAAGTTACTAATTTGATACACTAGGAGAATTACCTAATAACTAACTTAAATTAAGCAAATGAAAATGTAGAAAATTATAGCAATTAAAAATTTTAAATTTATATGGATTATTGAAATGTTACTTCCTTTATGGAAAAATCTAAATTTAATATAACACTTCTTAAAAAATAATAGCTAACATGCATCCATTTTTTGGAAATCTAAAATTGGATTTGAATAAAATTTTCAGATTTTTTCTTATTCTTGCAAGAATTGTTTGTAGTTAAAAACTTAACTTAAAAAAATTATATGAAGTTTAGAACTTTAAAAAAGAATTATACTACTTTCAAATATATTGCAAATAGAACTATCAAAACTGCTGAAATCAGCCTTTGAAAATATGTTTATATTATGTATTATGTTTAAATATGTATATGAGCACTAATCAATTGAATTTATTTTAATCATTAGGGTTTTGGAGCAGGGAACTTCAAAGCTTTATTTGAAGCTATTGAGCTGGACCAGGCAGAAAGAGGAAATTTGTAATAATTAGAAAGCAAATTGATAAAAAGACATGGAGATAAAATACTATGAGATAAAATAGTTTTTGTATGATAATGACATTAATGTTTTAAATTATCATGACATAATTAAGTTACAAACAGTGAAACACTATAAATCAAAAAGCTTCAATTTTATACCCAATTTTCTTTAATTTATTTATATGGATAATATTTTTTTTTACTTTGATGCAAAAATTGTGAATTTTTCTCTTGGTGTAAAAAATTTAAATAAATTACGTTGTTATCTTTATTTCATTTCATTTAAAGGAGCATTTTCACGAAATAAAAAAACAAAGTAACATTTTGTTTAATGTAAATAATTACAATGCACGAAAGAGTCCTTCAAAACTAACTTTAATTTTAAAAAATTTACAAAGCTCATCATAAATCACATATTAAGAATATTTGAGAAACCATCAACAATATTCAACTTACACAAGTTTATGAACACTGTATCATACATCTCAAATATGACTTCTGTCTAAAAAAACAATAAGATTAACATCCTCAACAAGAAAATTTCCCATTTATTAAAATACAAAAAATAAAATAAAATAAAATTTTCATAATTTTTAACAGCACAAGTAAAATTTAATATTATACAGAAATCAAAGCATTAATTTTCAATAATAAAGTAAAAAATTCTCTTTTTTTTAAAAAGTTTTAATATAAAGTAATAAATAGATTGCACAACTATAAAGTTAATTCTAATTTTCCCCCCCACCTCAAACTGACATTTAGAAGGTGTTGTAATAACAATCAGTTTGTACCATCTGATAAGAACCCAAATTGTACATTGCATTATTTGTGTTAAGCAAGCTTAGATCCAACAGACACCTGCTGCAAATCAAAGAACTGATATGAATTTTTTTCAAGAATTACTTTCACCAATCAACAATGCAATTTTAAATGTCAAAATACATCTTGAGTAACATATCATTAGCTGTAATAATTAATTCATCTTTGAAGAAAAGAATTCCTTTTCTTTCAACATAATTATCTAGAAAATTAAAAGTAGTGTAATAAAGTAATCAGGTGTTTCAATACATTGCATAATGATTCAGGGAAATTTTCTAGATGAGGATGATTAACCTCAGCAACCAGTAACAGTGGGATCTAACCCAGAACGTTTTGTGATATTCAATTTTACAATCTCCTCAGCAGTTGTAGGATGAATGCCAACTGTTTCTTGTAATTTTGTCAAAGTAAGTCCACAACTGAAATAAAATAAAACATACATAATAACTTCCAAAACCATATAGATTTTAAGCATCAGTTAAATATTTTAAAATAATGTTAAACAGCACCTGTTTCCAGTTCAATTAAAAAAATTTAACTAATAACTATAAAATTTTGTAAATTTCAAATTTAATATTACAAAGATTATTCATTTAGAAGATAGAATAATAAATCTATAACAGACTTTTTTTAATAATTATGTACATGGAATGGATGAAATCTAAAAAATGGTGTGATTGTTTCCATGAATATAAGCAATAATTCCATAAATATAACTTTTTTTAATAAAATTTACAATTACATGAATAAATTACTTTCTTTTTCAAAGTTATAGTTTTGCAATTTAGTTTAAAAAAAACTCAAAATAAAGTAATTTAACTTCCATAAAAGTTGTAAAAATGTACATAAAATTATAATTAATTCATGAGAAGAATTTTAAAAAATGAAAATACAGTCGAATCTCGATCCATTGTTCCCGCAACTTTTGTTACCCCATATATATTGTATTGTTTTAATGGGCCAGTCACAAATGCTATTCTTATAGTGCTAATGATACTGTTTAGATTGTTTTTGAAACTAGCAGATTTCTGCGTTGATTGTTCAGAAATTCTATTGATATTTAACAAAAATTTCAAAGTTAATTCATTTTGAGAAGAAAAACAATAACTCCTGATGCTAATGGTGAAGAAGAAAATGAGGATTTGTTACAGTTTGAGAGAAATGCCTCAAATATCAGGTTTGATGTTTATGCATTATTTGATGAAAATGGTGAAACTTGTGATCTGTTCAAGAAATGGTTGTAGACATTGAAGAAGTGTAAAGTGATACTGGTGAAGACAAGGAACTTGTCTACAATCAGTGCAAACAATGAGGAATATTCTGCATTTACACAAACTTACAGAAAACAAACAACAATGCTACGTATGTTAAAAATTTATAGTTATCGCTAAGAATAAAATATCCAAATATTTTAAATAAATAAATGTACTTATTAATCCTTTTTTTTTTTCATCGTAAATATTTTTTGGAGTAAGTACATAAGTGAAATATTTTATACTTACTGTAAATTTATTAATTTTAAAATCTATTACTTTTTCATTAACTTTACATACATTTTTCTAGTCCTTATTTGACAATTTTAGTTGACCCACATTCGCCATTTTCTAGTATCTATCCTTCGTAATAAATGATCCCTTGAGAAACATTTGATAGAGTTTCTACTGCATCATAGAAATAAAATGTTTGAAAAAATAAAACATACTTCATAGCAACACTAAAGCCTTGAATTACTTCACCAGCATTCGGACCCAGAAAATGCATTCCAATTATTTTCTCAGCATCACTTTTTAAACTAACAACCTGTGGAAAAACACACTGATTTACACAAGTTACAGTTAAATTTTCAAGTAATAAAACTTAATATACAAACAAAAAATAAATAAAAATTCAAACCACACTTGTCTAAACTAAAAAAATTTTTCTAAAAAATAAAATATTAAATAAAATAATGTTCAGAAAGTAAAATAAATCATTCCTGGTACAATCCACAGCAGGCCAGGGGTGACATGGAGGTTAAGGCTCCATAGTCTCGTTACAAACCCCAAGATTGAACCCTAGTTCTTCCCATAGACAGTTTAGTACCTTAACCACTGAGCTATATAAGCAGCTCATATAAAGTTTATAATCTAAAATTGAAGCTAATAAGAGATTGGAATCGAAGAAAAATGGAAAAAGTAAAATACACGTCTCGATGCAAAGATTTAATTGTTAGTTTTAAAAAGCTTATATCAATTATATCTTATTATAAGCTTATATTAATTATAGCTTATATCAAACAAAATATATAGAGAGTCTTTACTTTAATATAACATTGATCAGCATTTTGTTGAGGTATAACATATTCTAGAGGCTTGTAAAATGCATGATAAACTTCTATTTGGCTGTCAGAATATCTTTGAAGAGCATCCTCTTCAGACAAACCAACACATCCATATTCAAGAGGAGTAAATACAGTAGTTGCAACCTATGAGATGATTTATAAATTTGTCATTTCATTAAAAACTTCGTTAGCATTATTTTAAATCACTTTCAACTATTAGCATGTTTACAGAATTATGTTTTTTCAAAATATTATGTTGAATTTGAAAATATTATTACAGCAATAAAGTAGCTGCTACGAATATTTTTCTTTCTATTATTTTAATACATATTTAACAGTTAACAGTAATATTATAATAATATTTCCATTTGAGTTCTACATCATAAAAGTAATATTATAAAATTTTTATTTTATGTGCAACACACTATAAGATGTATTTATAAAAAGAAACTCTCTTCTTAAGCAGAACGTTCTATAACTACAAAATGTTTAGATTTCTGCTTCAAAAGTCAAACATTTAATTTTGCGTAATTTTGTATTTAAAAATTCTGTAATTCGTAATTAAGATGTCATTATGAATGGGAAATTATCTTGATAGTAAAAAATATTTTACAAAAGTACAAAAATATTTTAATAGTAAAATCCTAATCTGAGTATTTGGGCAATCAAAATAAAATTTATCTTAAAAAACTATTGAAAAATAATGTAAAAATATACTAAAAACAAATCATACAAATATGCTAGCATATATATATATATATATNCAACAGTATATATATATATACAGAGAGAGAGAGAGAAACTATTAAAAAAACATGGTAGATATATTTAAATCCAAATTAAATTAATACAAACTTATAGTTGATTTAGTTAGTAAATTTTTAAATAACATTTATGTACACTATCATAGTCCATATTTTCTGAAGATCCTGCAAAAAGTCTATGAGCAAGTAATTTTCCAGCTTTAATAGCTACAGGAGTTAATTCTGGCTTCCCCTGCAAAAAAGATAGACAAATGACATTTCTAGAGAAATAAAGCAAATTGTAAAATTATTAAATATAGAAATAAAATAAAATTTATAATGTTGTAAAAGAGCAATAGCTGAAGTAGCAAGAAATTCTAGATATGTATGCATAAAAATGAAATGTATATATACTAAAAATGCATCTTTAATTTTTGCTAATTTAGGAAAATATAGATAAATATGTTATATAAATTCTCAATTAACATTATATTGTTTTTTTTTTAATTTATTAAATTCAATAGAACTTAATTAAATTAATGGAATTTAATAATATATAATTAACATTTTCCCACTACAAACAGTAACTTCAAATTTTAAAAACTCTCAGCAGAAAATTTTGCTGTTGCAACACTAGATCAACTTAAACCAAATATAAAATAAAAACAATTTAACTGTCTCAATTAAAACTATTTTTAAAAGACAAAACACTTATTAGAATAATAAAATTATATAAAAGTATTGACGAAATTACATACAAAAATAAAATTAACATAATCATGAGATAAATAATTTACCTAACCAAGCTACTACATAAAAACTCACTTGTAGCACATCACCAATAGCAAAAATGTTAGGGACACTTGTTTGCTCATTTGAAGATATTATTTTAAAGGATTCAGGATTAACTTCAACTCCTACCTTATCTAATCCAAGATATTTTGTGACAGCTTGTCTGCCTAGGAATTAGAAGGCATTTAAAATTCGTTTTTTATTTTTTATAAAATGATGAATTAAAAAATATTTTCTAACATCCTTTCTAACATCCTTTTAGATAAATAAAATTGTGTATCTTATAATAAGTTCTGTTTTATATCAATCAGCAGTATAGTAATGAAAAGGACAGATCATTAACAAATAGACAGTTAAAAATTTTGAAGAAATTAAAAAAAAATCCTTACAACATTTTTTCACTTAGATGTATATCATTAAAATCAATGAATGAAGTTTTTCATACTTTTATGGGCATAAAGCAGTGATAAAGACCCTTTTCAAATGTTAACAAAATAAGACACAAACTCTTTCATCATCTACATAAAATAAAAAATAATTTTTTTTTCATTTCAAATTTTTCATGTTTCATTATCAACTTATAGGTAGCTCTCTCAAAAGGATAAGACTAATTTTATAGTTATAAACTATTACAAACTCCGGACAGTAATAAAAATGATTTGCTGTTTGTAAAATGGCATTATTTTGCAAAGTAAGAGTGACTTTCAAAACCTGCATTTTCAGATTTAACAAGTTAACTTTACCTTTTGGATATTTCCTGAACAAACTTGGAGCAAATTTAATGCTTCCAGGTCATCCAAAAATATTACTATAAATGCTTTATTAGCATAATTTTCAGATAATAGGGATTCCATTTTTCAGTCAATTACAATAAATTTTATTAAGATTACAAAACTATCACAATTTTTACTATTAACTTGGTTTTGTGCCTGTAAGAAAAATTGAATCTTGCAATTGTAATTTGAACAACTCAATCGCTACTGAAAAACTAGGCTAATAACAATAAAAGTTTCAATAATTTTCTGACTACTACAACAGAATTTATCGCCATTTTATTGCCAAATATTTAATTGAAATTCCAACCAATTTCTAATTAATAAGAGTGCCACTAATACAAGTTTTAATTGTTTTCTGGTTGATATAGCAGACTTAATTGTCATATTATCAAAAAAAGGGAATTTATGATCAATTATCGCTTATTAGATATACTTGTAAAATTTATATTTTAAAATTCTTATTTTGGTACATTATTTAGTTTTTAATATTTTACATTTCTACATTATTTTATATATTATTGACAAAATAAAAACGTAACTTCCATTTCAAAAATAAAACATAAAAAGAAGAACATTATTGGTAAATGGTATGTTTAAATATTGCAAAAATAAAAATCAAGATTTAAAACAGCTTCAATTATAAAAAGATCTCTCACCAATGGCAACTAAAACAGTATCAAACACGTCACTATAACTTTGTTGTTCTCCATCTTCCCATGTAACTTTAAGAAGACCTGATTTATCATCTTTCTTTACACTGAGTGGAATACAATTTTGAAGAAAATTAGTACCTTCTGATTTCATATGATCACTAATCAAATTTGCCATTTGCTAAAAATATAAAATGGAAATACTGATATAGTAATATATTTTATAGCATGCATCACAAGCATACAATCACAGTATCTCTTTGGACTGTGTTAAATGCATAATTTGATTTGATTATTAAATCATAATTGATTGTGATGAGCACTAATTTGTAAATATTTTACATTAAAATATACATTAACAATATTTTACATTAAAAATATAGAATTTCCAAGAACAATTTTCATATTTTTAACCATTTAAATCTCACATAAAAAGCCAGATTTTATTTAAACCATTGAGAATTCCTTGATGTTCTAATAGGTAAAAAATTGGAGAAAAAAGAAGTCGTTCCTCAGTACATAGTGCTATTTTTGCTACATAAATTCTTTACATAAGAAATTAAATAAAATATAATATGAATATCGCAATAAAAAATGCATGAAAATATTGTTTTTCAACAAAAGATAAACATTTATTAAGTCAAATTATATCCAAGAGAAAGTAATAATAAATAGCTCAAAACATACAAATATAACAAACTAAACTATCCAGGCACTCAATACTTAAAACTAAACTGAATGTGATTCTTTTCCACAAATGTTTAACAGTAGTTTGGATCAAATCATTTAATAATCATAGCATTAGAATAGGAAATACATAAATTTTTTTAGAAAAATCAAATCCAAAAATGATTTTAACATGAATATGAATATTTGTTTACTTGATCAAAACCCCGTAAACAAATCGATCTAACCATAACAGTTGTGTTGTATCTAAGACCTGTAAGGAAGCCAGCACATTCCAGAGCAACATCTACAGACATGTTAAGGAATGTTTGAGAGATATTAAGCATTTAAACATAAAAGTCATTTAAATATTGATTTTCAAAAAAACTATAATATCTAAAGTAAATAAATATCTTATGCATTATAAAATTCCATGAAAATCTTGTTTGTAATTATCTACATATTTATTACTTTCATTAATTATACAATTAGGAAACTATTTTAGCTTAATATCTAAAGTAAATAAATTTTATTCTCAGCATACAAAAGAAAATCGTGCTTACTATAAATTTTTCATTACTTTCAAAAATTTTCTTATCAAGAAACCATTTCAATTTTGACAAATCAATAAAAAATTTATTAATTGAGACAATTTTAAAAATCTTAATTTAGATATCGTATAATTCAAAGCTAAAATTCTTTTTACAAAAATATTCATTATTATTCTAACTCTGGAAGAAAAATGGCTCTTCTAAGGTTTTGAAAAGCTAAATATCAATTGAGAAAAAACATGTAAAAAAGGTTCATATTAGAAATTTAAATGTTTCATAGAAAACAGAAATTAAATTTAAAAAAAGTCGATCAAAACAATTTTGAACAATCAATCAAAATTTGATAAAATTTTAAATAACCGCCATTTCTTTTTGTAATACAGTATATGGAAATTATTATTTTCCAATTTTTTACATCTATATGAAAAATTTAAATAGAAATTTGTTATGACAGTGTTAATTTTAACTTTCAATAATTTGATAATCTCTAAAAAAATAAAATAGGTCATAAACAAGAAATAATAAATTTTTAATAAAGAAACCTTTACTTTAAAAAACTGTTTTTATTATTATATTCTATTTTTTTTAAAAAAACTTTTTTCATTAATTGATTATACTATTTTTTATGAAAATGTTTTCTACGTTTGAAATATTATTAAATAAAAGCAAATTAAATTAATTAATTCTCGATATGATTTTGAAGGATACAACTACCACCAATTACTAACCTGAAATTGAAACAGATGGGTTTAAATTAAAACGTCATAATATAAACTTAAAATTTAATTAAGTGTATGATAACAATTATGTTATAATATGCATAAATATGCTATTAATGTGCAAAACAAGACAAAAACATAGGAATATGTATTTGTCACTATTTTATTTCAGTGTAAAACTCTTTTTAATTATTACTTAAAACCTCATAAAAATTATTTTAACTAAAAAAAAATTATAACTTTAACTTTCTTTCATGAAATTTGGAGGGAAGGGACCGATTATTAGTGGTTTTTTATGCACTTATTTGGATAGATTATGATCCTAAATAATAAAACAATTTTTTTTTTCCAACATAAATAAGTCTTTTCAATATATTTGTATTTTTAGTAACTGATTAAAAAAATATTAAATGACATAAAATCAGCCAAATCATTCTCTTTTAAATCATTTTTTATTTAACCACAGAAATTCTAAACATTTAATTTTTTTAGTCCACTTTACTCTCAAAATTTTTAACATATTCAAAATATTAATGCACTAAAATACTTAACATTAACTAAAGAAAAAATAAAAGTAATNGTACATTACCGTACATAAAGTCTTATTCCCCCCTCCTCAGCGTAGGTACATTTTATTAGTCTAACCCCCTTTTTCATAAAAATTAAAATAATTCTGTTTTAAATGAAATTAAATATTCATTTAAAATAATTTTTGATTAGAAGAGGTTTTGGATTTCCAGGCGGCAGTGCTGTGATTGGAGGAGGATGTTTTCACCCGGTACCAGAAAAAGTTTCGGGGAAAGTTTGCAATTTTTTATTTTGCGAGACAACTTTTTTTTGAGAACTGATTTACTCATTCTAATAAGTGGTCGCCGCGTGAAAAAAAATACAAGAACAGACATATGTATAATACATGTGTAGAAAAAAGTCACATTTAAATTTGGTGTATGCTTATAATGTACGTACTTTGTATAATATCCCCCTCCCCATCGTACAAGACCGTACAAAATAGCAAATCCCCTCCCCCCCTTCGGCATGTACGTACTTTTTGAACGGCCCCTAAGTAGTAATTAAGCATATCAATAACAAAACAGTTATGCAGTGAATTCGGGTAACGAGTACCAAAATAATTATTAAATAAAAACTAAAAAGAAAGTTTAAAATTATTTTTACAACAACTCAATAAAAGCAATTTTGAAAAATAACTTACGTTTTACCAGGAGGAGTTTTCAAGCTGAATATGTCATCACTACTTAAACAAAATTCAGAAGCACCAGGTATATTAGGATATTTGGGCCTCCCTCCAACGGCAATAACAATATTTTCTGCTGTTAACACTTGCTTCTAAGCAATTAAGCAATCATTATTTTAAAAGATCAACTAAGAAATTTTTTTATAAAAAGAATCAAATGAAATACTTTTATGCGTAACATTTTTTATTTTCAGAATTTAAGTATTTATGAACACCTACTTTTCCAAATTTGTCAATTGTTTCAATTTCATGAGCTCCAATAAAACTTCCTTTAGCATTAAAATAGTCAACATTCCTAAAAAGTAAAATGCAAAATACAAACAAACACAAAGAAAACGTTTTACTGTAAGAAAAAGATGTTTTTACAATCAATGTAATCTTTGTTGTAAACAACTCTTACATATGAGATAATATAACAGTATAATTTTAAAACTAACACCTTAAATGAAATTTTTCATTTCTTGTCTTTGGGGCCATCAACAAATGATATCCTGCTTGGAAGGGAGGGAAGGAGTTTGTGAAATCGTGGAAATTTGTGAAAAGAAGAAGGTCACGAATTGTCACAGTTTTGTGAGTACACAGTTCCCAGTTTCATTGTTAAATGTGTAACACTACTCACTTTTGCAGAAATTAAAACATTTTAAATAAATCTATAAAATATTTTATATTATCTTCTTTTCATCAAAATACGTAAACACATAATCATTAATATTGTTACGTACACAAATATCATTAAAATGCGTAGTATAATGTCAAAAATAAAATTCTAACTATGAACCATAGTTAATGCTTTTTTTCTTATATAAAGTACATGTTGGTGAAATATAGAATGACATATGACAGGAGGTATGGTAAAATAAATAAATAGACACAAATAAAACAGAAATAGAAGCTATGTTTATGACAAATGCCTGACATCATTGTCTACAAATACTAATAAATGAAAGCTAGAAAACAAATTCCTTTTAAACGTTCTCCTCCACTTAAAAGTATGTTTATTATACGTTATGTTGGTTAGGTAGCAAAATTTCATGAAAACAATTACAGAAATATGAGTACACATGTTTTAAATTTGGAAGAAGAAAAATTATTCCAACGATTTTGTAAAACCAGGGTAATGGGTGTTTTTATCAAAAAATAAAGGAGATTCAAACAAGAGTTTCTCTGGATTGACTGTTTGTGTAAATTTTTCAACATTGTCTTTCATTTCAATTTATTTGCAGTCATAAAAAAATAAAAATTTTATGTAATTTTTTGTATAAATTGAAGTTTGAATTAAAATAATAGCAACAAAAGATTCTTTTCCAACTTATTTTATATCACAATTAATATTTCTTAATAATTTCAACAAAAATAAATAAATAAAGATAATGAAAAATTTATATATTTCATACAGCAAACAATATGACCAATACTTTACTTTTGTTTTAACTGTACTCTATGCCCCCAATTCAGAGATTTTATATGATTTGTAACTGCAGTACTCAATACATTCCAGTTATGCTTTACATTTTCATCAGTAATCCAACCATATTTTTGAGAATTTTCAATTGTTTTACCAAGTAAAGATGCCTGGTGGAACAGTTTTTTAGGAATACAACCTACGTTGACACAAGTACCTCCCAGGCCCCAAGTTGTTCCTATAAAGCAAGAGTTTGATTATAACTTACCTATAAATTTATACGGATAATAATAAAGTTTTTTAAAAATTAATTTATTGATAAGCTATTTGATCACATTACATTTAGGATGTTTTGAGTTATTAAATAAAATTAATTTATTAACATTTACAGCATTTAATTAAAAACGATTAAAACATTATAACTTATAAATATTTAATAACAATTAAAACTTTAAAGCTAGCTCTAAGATGATTCAATAAAAGAGCATCATTTATTGTAATTATTTTAAGTGATATGGGAAAAATTTTAATTTCCCTAGGCTTTTTTTTTTCTAATAGGGGAAAATATTGCAATTTTCTCAAATTCTGAAGGAAAGAAATTTTGTGAGCTATTTTAATTACTTTTCATGAAATATAAAAAGGAAATAGCACAACAAAGGAGATGAGCATTAAGAGTTACTTCATAAGCAATATTGAAATTTTTTTCCTTTAAATAAATATTTCCATAAAACTAAAAATATTAAGAAAGAAACACAGAAAGTAGAAGAAATTTTTTTAAACAAAATGCTTTAAAATAAAAACAATTGTCACTTTTTCATTCCTAATTAAAATTTGAATCGTGATGTGATAGAAGGAAAAAAAAATTATAATTATTACGCACAATGACAGAGAAAATGAATAATTTTTAAATACTAAGCTGTAGATTTATAATAGCTTTTAAATCGGATGTTAGAATAATAGCTTTTAAATCTGATATTAGTTAAAAACATCATAAAAACAATATTCACACAATAAATATTAAAACATTTTTATTTCTAATTAAAATTGTGATGCAGAAAAAGAAAAATTAAAGAAAAAAAATAAGATAATTAATAAATGAGATAGAAAAATAATATTATAATAGCAGAGAAAAACAATATTTTAATAATTTCAAATATTTGAAATGTTAAGTAGAAGATTTTAAACAATAGTTATCAAATGTCATAAAATTAAAAGTAATATATATATATATGTATATATATATAATAAATAATAAAAGGGGCAGTGGGAGAGAAAA